AATAGTAGTAGTAGTAGTAGCAGGAGTAGTAGCAGGAGTAGTAGCAGGAGTAGTAGTAGTAGTAGTAGCAGTAGTAGTAGTAGCAGCAGTAGTAGTAGTAGTAGCAGGAGTAGTAGCAGGAGTAGTAGTAGTAGTAGTAGTAGTCGTAGTCGTAGTCGTAGTCGTAGTAGTAGTAGTAGTAGTAGTAGTAGTAGTAGTAGTAGTAGTGTTGTAGTAGTAGTAGCAGCAGCAGCAGCAGTAGCAGTAGCACTAGCAGTTGCAGTAGCAGTAGTAGTAGCAGCACTACAACTGGCATTATGGACTATGTACTACAATGTCTCAAGCACCTCCACTTCCATCATTATTTTTCTAATACCACCACTACTTGTACTATCTGTACTAATGTGCCGAGTACGACTACGACAGTGACTGCAACGTCACTGTTGCGACTGTAGGTTACAGCAGCAGGAACTCCAACAGGAGGAGCGGCCATACTGATGGCAACTGTTGTTGTCCATGCTGATATGAGTGCCAAGAAAAGTATCAATAATGAACATGCATGATCGTGGCTTATGAGCACAATCCGGGCAGGGACTGAGTAGCGCAGCATTTTGCAACCCTGGCTGATAGAGATTCATGACAATTGATGTGTTCCGGATTTTTGTAATTTCTTGCTTGGGCATTGGTTCGATTCACTCCTCATGGTTCGGCCGTTGAATTCTTCTACAAGTGCCCGTAGTACTGTTTTGTTCATCCTGTTGCGTTCTCAGCAGTTTCTGTCTGTCTACAAGATCTGAATGCCTTGGTTTTCTCGGCATTCCTTCAACTGGCAGGAATGACAAGCTTTTCTTTTCATGTTGCTCATGTCCCTCGCCACTCAGTATCCACTCTCTCTCTCTCTCTCTCTCTCTCTCTCGCTCAGTGAATCAGCTAAAAATGCTGCTCCTGTGAAAACTCAGTTCGATTCTTCAAGGTTACGGGTTCTGGAGTCACCCGGCAGCCATACATTGTCGGCAGGGCTTGTGTGTTTTCAAGTGCTGTTGCAGCCTGCTGCGCGCCCAGATGGCAAGTTCGAAGCCGCTTGGATGGACTCCGGTGACGAGCGGGAGGCTGCCAAGCTCAGCGAGAAGCCCTCAGGACGCGACCCTCAAGCTTGCAAGTCTGTAAGTCTTTGGAGGTTGGCTCTGTGGTAGGAAGACAGGGTTCCTGTTTCAAGTGTTGTGTTTCACGCTGTGCCTCTAGGATTCACTGCGTGTAGGGTCTCTAGGTTGGAAGAACCCCCGGAGTTACAGGGATGGGGTATTGAGCTATGATCCTCCTTGTACTTATCACATCGCTTTGTTTGGCCCTGTCTCGGTGTCGTCTCCTGGTATTGTGTCTTTGTATTCGTTTCTGCATCTTGGCTCCTCTCATGGTCCAGTGGGCCAAAGGCACTTCTTGTGGGACCATCTGCATGTTTGGAAAGCTCTTCGAGCTGGCCATGTTTCATGGCCATTCCTAGATTCAATTACAGCTTCCACTCTCGAACGTCTTTTGTGATGTGGGCCTGGAGCATGCTGGACTTCTGATCAGCAACCTCTGGCCAGGGAGCTTTCCGTGTTCACACAGCCAGGGATCTAAGCGCTTGTTGAGGAAGCTTCCGTCAGAACCACATGAAGCATTGAGACCTTCAACACTGCATGCAGCAGAATGCGTCTGGCAGTGAAATATGTCCCGCAAGTGCTGCAGAAAGTGCACGTGTTTTCTTTCAACGCCATGTGATCGTCTCTGGTTGATCGAACAGGTCAGCAGTCGAAAGCCGAGAAATTATGGAAGGAATCAGCAAAGTCTCGAATCCAGTTGTTCCGAAGGAGGCGACGTCGTGGTTGACTTCTTCTGAGTTCGAAGTGCCTGGCTTCACCGGCCAGACAAATGTTCTGAGAAACAAGTTTGCAGGTGTTCGATCGTCAGTTTCTGCCAAGCCGGGTCCGCTGTGACCCCAATGATTTGCTTGGAAGCAAGACAGAAAAGTGTGGTCTGTGTTTGATGTTCTGACATGCTTTTTCCGGGTAGCTTATATCCAGATGCTGTCACGCTGTTTGTTTCCCGATATGGATTTGACGTTTGATGTGGTGCGGCTACTGCCGGCCCAAGTCTGACAAAGTGTAAATGACACCTCCCACGCATCCTCTCTTAAAGCACCAGCTTGACTTGCCTTCTGCAAGACAGTTTTAATGGTGTAATGCGAGAGCACAGGACAAATATTGTGATCTCAAATCTGGCAATGTCTGAGACCCCTCCGCTGCCGCCTGCATTTGGTCCGCCCATCAACTCGGGCCTGAGCGAAATCAGCGGCCAATCTGCAAATGCAGTTCGTGATGAAACCTTTCCCCACGATCTTGACATCAGCTGTCTGGCAGACCAAGGTGCAAGCACTTGTGCATCCAGAGTCACGCAAGCAACCACCCAGTTGTTCAAGTGCCTTTCCCGGTTGCTGCTGCAGATGCTGCGCCTCCTTGATGTTTGTCGGATTCAGAGCCCGTTCAGTTGCTTGGCGAGCACGTCCCTTGCTGGTACAGATGAGTCGTCGCAGTCTAAGCTTTGGGTTTTGCAGCGGTCTTTGAGTGTGAGGCGTTTGAAGTGCAAAAAGCAATTGTGTCAGGAGTGTTGCTATCAGCCGCTGCGGCTGCTTCAACTCTTTGAAAGCCTCTACAAAGAACTGCGAGCTCCTAATCTGCAGGATGACAGTTCCCTATACCATCATGTAGCCTTCCACAGCATGTTTCCCAGGGAGACCCTGCGCGTCGAAAAGGGCGCTGTCCTGACGGATCTCTTCCAGACCCAGGCTTGCTTGTCTCTGACGTATCAAAAGAAGCGGAATCATTGCAATCGCTGCTCGCCGGCCTCCTCTGCCCGGCTAAGAGTGTGGTGCCCAGGAAGCAGTATCAGGGGGACTGGAACAAAAAGGATTAATTTCGAGCTGCATAATTTCTGGCCCCTGTCCGGGAGCACCAGGGACCGGACCCGAAATGAAGGAAAATGGGGGCGGCTGTGGGGTTGTGCTGGGGCCAGCCGGCCGACCTGTATGAAGCTCTGGGCGCCTCTGAAGAGACAGATATGTTCTGGCACTGTTTACGCCCCCGCGCAGTTTGCTCAGATTGGTCCGCAAACGCGTCGGTTCTGCAAGCAGCTGTGGTCTCATTGGCATATTGGACGGCAAGTCCACTGGTGGGACCCATGGTTGCACTATTCGTTGCGCTGGTAGCAATATCTCGCGATGATGCGAGTACAGTGGGAGTGGGATTCAGCATTCGTCATAGCAGCATGATTGGTGGTACAGTAGCAGCTGTAGATTGGTGTTCAGTGCCAGCGGCCAAAGTCGCAACAGGAGCAGGAACAGCAAAGAGTTAACAGAGCATAAGCGCAGGTCGTGGTTGTAGTGCCTGGTAGGCAAGAGGCGGCCGTGGTCCCATTCAGGTAGAATCAGGGTGCTAACGCAGAACACTTTACTAGGCACGGCTTCAAAAGGGGTTCAAGAAGCATGCGCACAAACGTGGTAATTTCATGTGGAGTCCTCCTACATGCTGCTTTTGGCATGCATTTTTATTGCTAGGCTTCTGTTAGAAAGGGTTTTTGTGCAAGAAGGGTTGATTTTCTGCTAGCTAGGCTTTCTCACAGATGTGTTTTTCTGCTTGATGCGGTTTCATTTAGCTGGGTGTAGCTTAAGGGCGCTACTCTGTAGATCCTTCCAGTTCCTCTTGTAGTCAGGAGAATGGCGAACTACACATGTGTGGGGTGCTCAGGATCTGGGTTCGGTCCGTTGGAGCGTTTCTGGCTGCCGTGGTGCAAGTTTCATATCGCTGAGGTTTGTTGCTGGTGGTTGTGCTTTTTCTTCTGGTTGCTTGGCAGAGCAATTCCTGTGGTGCTGCACAGACCGCTTGGCTTCTGGCTGCTTCTAAGGCTTGCCTATGGCTTTATCGTGATGTGGCTTGGTACATCTATCTTGGTACAAGCAGCGGTCTGCCAGCGAGTTGTTCACTGGCTTGGGCAGGTAGTACAAGCAGTTGTGATTGATCGTGAAGAAGCTGCGGAAGCTGCAGTAGAGGTTTCTACATGCCACAAAAGGCTGTTGCAGACTTCGATCATGATCCTTCGAGCTGCAGGATGTCAAAGTGGCGCTTCATGACGTTTCCGACGCCTGTAGGACGGGCTGGTTTGCGAGACTGGCTTGCGACTGCTGGAATGAGAGTCGAGCGCGACCGTTTGCTCAACTTTGGCCGTCATGCAAAGGGATTTGGCACATTCGAGGCTTATACGAATTCTACCGACTTCGCTGCATGCAGGAAACTGGAGGAAGATCTCATCCTCGGTCATGATGCAACTCAGCTGAGCTTTGCTGATCTCCAGCAGGAGCTCGTGAAGCAAGTATGCAAGTTTATGCAGCGTGCTCTTGCATCCAAGGAAACCAAACCCAAAAGCAGCTCTGCTCGGCATGATGCCGGCTACGGCTTCTGCTAGCGAATGCAATCGCCAAGTTAATGCCCGGCCTGTTTGTGGCCCGTGTACAGCCGATGAAGCTGCAAGCTAGCGTCAAGATAGCTCCGGGTGCACTAGCTAAGGCTGGGAGTGAAGCCATGATTGGATTATTTCTTATGCTGCAGAGGCAGCACCAAACAGCCTTGCATATGACCGCGCATCCTTGGCTCAACATTGGAAGGCTGTGTTGAAACGGATGATTCACGAAATGGTTGCACTTTTTTCATATACAAAGCCCTTTCGATTGCCTTAGCCTCGAGCAGCAGCCATGGGGTCAGATGACAGCGAGAGCGAGGAACAGGAGGAGTGACCTTGTGGAATGTGCGTAAAAGCTGCTCTCAGGGCTGGGCCCCTCTCCAAGCTTCTCCGTACATTTGATTTCTTTCTAGCTTCCAGATCTAATATGCGAAGGGTTACTTGCTGCACAAACCCATCAGATTTTTCAACATGCTGCCCAAGGCAGATTGCTATTTGCAACTGTTCCGTCATGGGATTGCTCAAATGGGAACTGGTATGCAGAGTGCAGAGCTATTGTCGTATTTGCAAAAGTTGTGATCTTGGCTAGTGGCTAGCATATCATGCTCGCTGTAAGACTCCGATTTCTTCAGGGTTGCCAGGTTCCCCTAGAGCCAACAATGCATCACCGAAAGGAGTGCTTGATTGCCGGGGCACAGTATGTCACTGCAGGAGCGTCGAGAACGTCGAGGGGAGAAGCGCGAGCGTGAGGAGAGGACCGAGAAGGACTTGTGAAGTGGATCAAGAGCCTTAAGGGGTCAAGTTCCGCACAGCAAGACACTGTCGCAGGCAGTATGCTGAGCCGCTGTCTTGCGAAGGATGACCGTGATCGTCGCCGCGACCGTGATCGCGACCGTGATCGTGATGGCGACCGAGACCGAGACCGTGACCGCGACCATGACCGATCAGGCTGGTACATGTCGGTGCGCCGTAGTTTGCTAAATGCTACAACTCAGTCTCTTAGCATCAGGCACGAAGGAGTTCACATGCTGGACATACCTTGACCTTGGTGTCCTCGGCAGGCCAGGCGGCTGGCGCACTGAGGAACTTCACGGGTGCCATGGCTGCTTCGGTCGCTTCAGCACGCGGCGAGCGGCCGCAGGGTGCGGCAGCCGGCGCAGCTGGTGAGGCTCCGGCCAAAGGCGCCGATTCTCCAGGGAGGGTGAGGGGCTGGAATGTTTGGTATGGGCTTCTGGTCTCTGGTGATAGGTGGGGCTGAGAAGACTCCGCCCCTTTGTCATAAAGCTATAAAGCCCTAAGTGCTGGTACGAAGTCTTCACCCAAGCGGAGGCCGTGGCAAGCAAGCGATTCTGCCTCCACCCAGAAAGATGCTGGATCGTTCACGCACTTGCCCCTTCCTGCCCCAGGCTCAGTCCATCAGCATGTTGCTGGACATCTCAACTTATCCGAGCACAAAACATGCGCTGCTTCCGTGTTCCTGCGTGCTTCTTGATTTTTCTCTGCTGAGGCTCCGGATCTTTCGGAAGATAGGCCGCCCCAATTTGCTAGAAACTGTACCTTCTTCTTGGCTTGTGGGGAGCATCATCTATGCATGACAGGCGAGCATCACGGCATCCAGGCCGCCTCAGTTGTTCCGCGTGTTCAAGTGCTCACTGCCGGGGAAGAAAAGAAGGGCAGCCTTTGTGAAAGAAGAACGGCCAGTACGTGTTGCAGGCTTTCGCTGAGCGTGGAAAGGAGCCGGTCCATGATGAGCTCCAGGCAATGATAATCTTGGCTTGGACTGTGCCTGTAGACAGCCGCTAAGACGGTAGAGCTGGAATGTTCATGCAATCGTCCGTTTGTGAAATATCGAGAAGATAGAAATGGGAGCTTTGAGCCTGTTGCAATGGCACTACAGTGCCGCTACGTAAGCCTTTGTTTTCGCTTCAGGTCTATGCCTGGCCGGATGTGACGCTCAGAGAGTGCTTTGCCTCAGGGACGGCGTGAGAGGGCTGACTTCCCGACTCTGTTCTTACTTCTCTCCACCCATACAAGCTTACTCTTTTCTTGACGAATCTAAGTAGCTTCTCTCCAGCAGGTGGACACCTCTTGGGGCCACAGAATTCTGAAGATGTTGCCCCTGCCCAGGTTGGCGGACTTGATCAAGGACGTGGCACCCGAGGCTCGTGACCCGAAGGTGAAGTTGGCCTTCAACCTGATCTATCCGGCCACGGCCTTAGACTCCATGAGCTCAAGAGAGAACTGGTTTGATCAAAGCCTACCATGGATATCCTACATACAATTTGTGCAATCCGATTGCAGACGCCTGCAGGACAAGACTGGGAAGAATGTCAGCACCAGCCTCGGCACTGTGACGTGCGCACGACGCGGTCCGGATGATGACAAGGCCCAGCACAGATTGTTTGCGTAGTTGCTCCAAAAGCAGAACACAGGCTATGTGAAGGTTCTGGAAGATAGTCCAGGGAAGTACTTGTAGCTGTCTATTTTGGATCAGGCGTCCATAGACCCTGTAGAGACCCTGTCCCTTTTTCTGAAGAAGCCTATAGAGAGTACCTACGCCCATCGACCAAAACACGTATCGGTAGGCCCACATAATCACTGTTCAGATAAAGCCTTGTAGCTAGGTAGATAGACACACAGGGTCAAGAGCATTTGGAATAAACCGCAATGCGCAGGGTCTATCCCAGTATCCCAGTATCCCAGCATATCCCAGCCTATAGTAGCACCCTATCCGGCATACGACCCTGGGGCTTACCTCCCAGCACATTACGGGACGGTCTACTCCCCAAACAAACCCCTGACGTACACGGACCTACACCTAGAAGTATTATTGTAATCTCATTTCTCGCGGCCAGAATGTGTGAAATACTGCATACAATGCGGCTATACATACCCATTCGGCCCCTCCCACAGTCCGAAAGGAATGATTCCATGCTTGAAGGGCAGTCTTTCTGGCTGACACTGCAGGGCTGTGGTCACTACGGGTGTGGGCCAGCACCACTCTGAGTGCCAGTGGCCTTGACCCATGTGAGGGTGAATGTGGATATCATGTGAGGCTCAGGTGAATGGGGGTGTTCCGGCTCTTCACTGGGATGACGCGCCCTACGAGGAACCACAGCAGATAATGTCTCTTCGAAGAGGGGACGCGGGTCATGCTGAGAAAGGTTGAGTCTGCAAGATCTTGCTGCTTGCTGGATACCCCTGGGGCTTTGGGAACCTGAACTCCGACCGGAGCCCAGGAGGGACGAGGCCTGACCCATGGCTGTCACACCCCAGGCCGCTATCCAGCCATCCATCCATCCACCCATTCATCCGACTGTGTCCATGTTGTATGACCCTCCGTTTGAGCCGCCTTGGGTTGTTTGGGGTTTGGGGTCTTGGGCTGTGGAGTTGTCCAGGGTTCAGGGCTGGAGCTGTCTATTCTTCTGCGTGGTTCTGGGCTTGGGGCTTTGGATTGTTGGGGAGTTTTGTGGGTAGCATTGCTTACAGCTTAGGCTTCAGAGCTGAGAGTTAGGCTTTAAGGCTTTATGGGTTTTGGGCAAAACTGAGGGTTCCCTAGTCGCAGGGTCTTAGGGCTGTTTAGGGTTTGCAGTCTGATCCAGGACGGTTTGGGATTTGGACTTGATTAGGCATTACAGTGTTGGGCAAATTAAGGACTCAGGCTTGTTTTAGTTCAGAGCTTGGACATTTTCATTTTTTGGGTTTGGGGTTGTTTGTAGGTTGGGTTGTTTGGGGTTTACTGCTCATGCTGTTTCAGGCTAAGAGGCCCGGTTCTTCAGGGTTTGGGGCTGGTGCTTGTCCAGGGATTGCTGTGTGGGAATATTTAGGGTTCTGGCTTGTTGAGGGCTTGGACTTGTTGTTCGATATTTGTTGCTCGGGCTGTATAATGGGGAGGGATTGGGGTCGATAGGGTATGGGGTTAGTGTACATGGTTTATAAACAACCCCAAATCAAAGAATCCTAAACAACCATAAGCCCCAAGGAACCCCAAAAGCTAAACACTGAAGAATCCTAAGCAGTCAACCTCAAATAGCCCAAAGCCCTCAACACTAAGAAGCCCCAAACCCTGTGCCCTAAACCGTAACCCCAAAACCTTGAACACCCCAAGCCCAAAGTTTAGACAACTCCAAACTTCTGAACAGCCTGAACGGCAAAACATGGAAGGACCCAAGCTGTAGACAACCCCAACCAAAAAACTGGACAAGTCCAAACCACAAACCGGCCAAGTGTAGAGCCTGAACTGAACAATTCACAACCCCAAATGACCCTGAGCCCTAAACAGCCCCAACAGGCATACCCTAAACAAATCTAAGCCCTGAACCCTGAGCTCTGATTCTAAAAACTGTTATGGTTTCGGGTCTTGGGCTGTTTGGAGTTAAGGGCTTAGAGTTGTTTGGGGTTTAGGGTTCCGGCTGTTGTGCGGTTACTTTTGCGTTTGGGGTGCGGACCTCTTTAGGGTTTACGCCTTGTCGCCGCATTTCCGAATGAAGATATGCGAGCGCCTGGGGTTCCTCAGGGCTTTAGGATTCAGGGTTCCTTCGAATTCTCGAATTGGGGTTGGTGAGAATTTAGGTCTTGAGGTTGTCTTGGGCGTAGGGTTTGGGCTGTTTAGGGTTTGGACTTGGGTCTCTTGAGTTTGCGGACCAGGCTCAGTCTGAGGGTTTGGGGTTGTTGCTCCGGCTGTCCAAGGCTGAGGCTTGGTGTTGTTTAGGATTTGTGTGGGGTACGTTTGGCTTGGGGGTTAGGGTGTAGGCTTTGAGATTCTGTAAGTCTAGGGCCTGAGGGCTCCTTCAGTTTGACGGCTCAGGCTTTATTCAGGGTTAAGGGTTCGGGCCTTGGGCTTATGTGCGGTGTACAGTCTTGGGCCATTTTGGGCTCTGGATTATTTTGGATTGTAAGTCGTTCCAGTTTTGTGGTTTAGGGTTGTCTGCAGGTTTGGTTGTTTGAGGTATACTGTCTGGGCCGTTTCGGGTGTGGCCTTGGGCTGTTAGAGGTCTAGGATTGTTTGGGCTTGGGGTTAGGGTTTGGTGATTTTTGGGGGTTGAGGGTTTCGGGTTGTTGTTTGGAGCTTCGGCTTGTGGGTGTTTAGGGGTTTTGAGGGCTTGGGTTGCTTGGGGTTTAGAGTCATGGCAGCTGCCGAGACGGGAGCCGTTTGCAATTCAAAGCAGAAGCCGCAGCCCCATGGACATGCCTTGTAGAATCCCATGAGCTAGAAACAAAAATCATTGCAGAACCTCCTCAGGCTCCTCCAGCCATTAGGACGTACAGCCTCAACATTAGAGTTTGCATCTGATGCTTTATGCTCTCTTGGTTGTTGGAGTAACCTTGGACGCATCCATATAGACCCCTGTGCATTTTTTTATAGGGGTTTATTTGTAGAATGGATAGACGCCCATGGACATTGGATACGGGACATGGGCCTACAATAAGGCTTTATCTCAACACATGGTAGGGGCTTGTCATCGTGGTCTGTGCATCTGCCGAAGCCCTCCAGGGATGGGTCTAGGGGTCCGGAAGTGGAAGGCTACTTGCAGGGGTTTCCCGTTCTAGGATAGACCCTATCTGCTGGGGTCTCTCATCCCTAACATGAGTTAATCATACTCCAATATTTGAATCGGTTTCGTGCTTCCTGGGGGTTGTAGGGAATGAAGGGGTGAATAAGATCATGGAAACTATTATATTACTTGGGGGGGTTAGGGGACCTATGTTCAGATGCGGTATAGTTTTTTAACAAGTAAGAGCATTATTTGTTCATAGCCTCTAATATAAGATTGGCGAAGGGCTACTTTTTTTGAGAGACCTGTCCGTGAAAGGCACTGTCATCGTCGAAGTTCCAAACAGGCCTGGAAGGGGTTTTGATCAACAATATGTCACACCGTTACTACGTTGAGAATATTTATTAATAAAGGCTGGAAGGATTTCAGGAATTGGACACACCCTGCGTGCTCTGTGTGACTGAATTAGCTTGCACTACCCAAGCCTGCAGATTTCAAAGAACCCTTGAATCGTTGTTATGCAGTACCTTGAATGTTGAGGAGACCTTCTGGACTTGGCCATCCTGAAGTGAATGCTAAAGCAGTAGTAAGCGGGGCAGCCTGACCATGACAAATGTTTCCAGTAGAGCTTCATAAATTGAGGGTGACTTAGATATCCTGAGTACTTTAAGATCTGAATAGCCAAGGGATCTCTAGCTAAACATGTTGACATAATGTAGAAGCAGCTGGGCAGCTGGCTGGTATAGACACGGCTTGGATTTGACCACTCATTGTCAAAAAGTGGGGTCAAGTGAGGTCAGCTTGCAAGGGGAGATGTGCATGGCAAGTTATGGTCTCTCGCGACCCATGAGTTGCGTGAGCTTCTGGTTATCGCTTGCTGGCCTGGCTCGAGACAGCCCGCCCAACAGCGGAGGATGTCTGGCCTTGGCCTTAAACGGGAAGAATTTAGTTTTTACTGTGTTATGCCGAAAGCCTTAGCGTCTTGGGGGCCTTTGAATTGAAGCGCATGTCGAGCTCCAGCTGAGGTAAATGCACCTTCATGTTACGATGAGGAGGTGAAGGCAGTTTGCAAGTCGGAGACCATGACAGACATCATATCTCACGTTCCGTTGCAGGCAAGGCCGGCCACATTTAGTGGCCGCAGCTGCCCGCGACGACTGCGCCAGTGCATGCACGCAGCGGCCTTTGTGGTATGGGCACTCCTCGCCACTCAGTTTCCGGAACATCTTAACCTATATTCGATGCCTAGATTGGTTGGCGAGTGCTGGCTGGCCTCTTTGTGGCAGGTGCCACAAAGTTTGCATTTGCACTACTTGCACAGCAAGTGACAAAGTTGCTAGAACCTGGCTCAGGTGCTGTGCGGCCGAGCAGCGAGAATTCAGAATTGGTGCGCCAAGCAGGTGGAGCAGGTGGGCCCCGCTGAGACATTGCAAGCTCACGGCAAAACCGCCATGGCAAAACCACCTTTTTGTTTTCTCCAAGCTTGAGGTCATCTTGAGGAGAAGACATGGAAGGATGCGAAGACTGCGTGCTTCGACTCGGTCATCACTGCTTCGGGGTGTGCAGGTAGGCATTGTAGGCGGAAACTAGTGCGGGGTCATGGCATGCCCTCTCCAGCCGCACAGTTTCCTTCAAACGGGGTTGCAAGGAGAACCGTTGGCAGTTGCATAGACATCAGTTGCCACTCCCGAAGTCCCAAGGCCGGACCAGATGCGTACTAACCGGTGGCAGGAGAGGAAGAAGGAGGTGAAGTCCGTGGCCACTTGTTTGCAAGTTGCGTATGATGTTGCCAGCAGTTTCTTGGGCTCCCATTCTGGCCGCTTTTGTTGGAACTTACTTCTTGTAGTCATACGGGCAAACCGCAATCAAAGTGGTTCTAGGCATCATTAGTCCACCATTCAGCGCAGAGGCACGCTTCTGGACTCTTCTTGGCAGCGTCGGAGTGGCAGGCCCAAGCAAGCCCGCAAAAGTGGGATTACTTCCGGAATCCTGCAAGCCAGCAAACTTCATGGTGAACAAGCTGAGAGGTAAGAGTTTGGGCTTGAGGAATGTTGCAGCGAGCAGGGCAATGCGGAAGAGCCGTGATGAGCACCACCATTCACATTGAGTTTCCTGCGTTGGATCCAATGCTCAAAATGGGCAGCAAGTCTCTGCAACAGTGCTACTGGCTTGGAGCTTACGACAACGGCGGCAATCTGCAGTCCACTAGCTAATGTTTAGAGAATCGTGAAACCAACCAGAATGAGAAGCTTCAAAACCACTGTAAGCAAGTACAATTTGCTGTTCATTCTGGCTGGCAAGGCTACGCAGTCTCCTTTCTCTTGAAGAGGGACGAGCGTTCTCCGGATGCGAGTCGGCTTCTCAAGGTGGCCCCTGCCTTAGCCTCGCAGCCACGACCGCGAGAAGTGCAAGCGCCATGTAGCCGCGTCCGTGGCTGGCGTGTGATACCTGCAGCGAGGTTGCCCTCAAGCTCCACAAGGTGCAAAGCAGTAGTGGTCAACTCAATCTGTGGTACACGCCAGGAAAGCTGTACGCTCATTTTCTGCACAGGACAAGATCTTCATGCAACTGTGGCTTTCCTGCAATTAGTGAATCAATGTAGTATGAATGTTTTCAGGCTCAAAAGGCTCCAAGCTGTTTGGTGCCGAAAGCACTGATGCAGGTTCTGCACTGCTGGCCTGTCGCTTGGGGGCACTGAGCATTTCTCCTATGACTGTAACTTGTTGTTTGCCAAAAGCAAGCTTGTTTGTCCCTCAAAAGGTTTGGCCTCGCGGATCTTCTCGCGCAGCGTGTGCGCTCCTACCATGAGAAGTCTAACCTTCAGGAATCATCGATGCAGTCGAGTCAGATTTTGGGCAGCCCAGAGTGATGTGGCATTGCATCGTAGGATGGCTACAAGATTGGCGGGTGGGATTGGCGGTACACCCTTGCGATTATGGCTTGTGCATGCCTCTTCCAGGCACAAGTTGTCGCTTACTTTCGGTCCCTGGCGGCCCACACGGTCTGAAAACCGCAGGTGGCCATTCTCGGACGCTTCTATGACTACTGTTCTTCGCCAAGCTTATTCCTGGTATGGCGGCCGGACTGATTTGTTTGGGACCTAGGTGATGCACGCTTCGGAGTCGCCACCACATGGCAGGCAGTGCCTAGCTCGCAAGCTCGTGTGAGTTTGAAATCGCCAAGTCAGAGCAGTTTTCTGAGGCTTTACTCAAGGCCGTTAAGATGCAGACAGCCTTCACCTTTGGCTACCTCCCTCTCGGGGTGTTCCTTTATGCTCCTTGGCCTCCAGCTGGTTGCGCTGTTCAGGGGGGAGCTAGCATCAGGGCTCTCAGGCTCTGTTAATCTGCTTTCTGTTCGAGAGCTTCGCGGACTCTACTGACAATTGTGGTCCGGAATCTCAGCAAACCAAGTGCTGATTTGTCCAACAGGCCCACTTAAAATTCAGTGTTTGAAGTGCAGAGGCCCGTCTGCAATTGCTGGGCTGCCTTTCAACTTTGGGACAGCCTTGCAGCCGCCATGCTGTCCAATGCTGCAAGCGGCAACTTATTCAAGTGGAGGAGCAGTGTGGTTCAAGCGGTGGAGCTGTGGCCAGGACCCGGTTAAGGAGGGAAGTAACATTCCTTGCAAAGCAACTTTCTGTTCGGTTGTCAGGAGACTACCTGCAAGCGATGGTGTTCTGGCCTCCCAGTCATGCCGTGAATTACGTGCTGAACTCAGTTCATTTTGCGCGAACTGCTTGCCTTGATTCACCATGACATTGGGCAAGGTGCTGATTCAGCGCTGGTCTCCAAACTTCCGGCCCATCTTTGATGGTGTGGTCGTGCCCGCGGTTTGCAAACGTATTGCTGCTGTAAAATTACGATGTGTGTATATATATATATATGGATTTTTCTTTTTTTTTCATATATTGATTCAGCGATCTAGGTTGAATCTTGGTTGCCTGCGCTGCTGCCGCCGCAACAGCCGCAAGGTACTGTTTTGGAACACGTTCGTTCTGGGAGGGGGTGCTGACCGAGAGGCAGTGAACATTGATCGTCAACTTGACTTGAGGGAGAGGGCTGCTGGAACCTTGAGGCAGTGGGTCCAACTCTTTTCGGCCCAGCCCCAGGACCAAAGGCGAAGGTGGACTCTTTTGCCGTGCCAAGAAGCTCTGGCTGCTTGTGCCTTTGAAGGTGCCATCGTCTGTGGACTGCTCCAAACACTCCTTTGCAGAGATGGGGCGATGGTGCGCGCACGCAATACTTCAGCAAAGATTGCGCCTGGCATTTGTGCCAGGATCGCTCAGAAGCTTGGCCCGCGCCTCAAGCGTTCACAGTGCTTTACAATTTGCAGCTGCTGTGGCTGCTGTGGCTGCTATGGCTGCCATGTGCAAAAGCTCAGGTGAGTTGGCCGCAGCTTGCCAACGACAGACTTCAAGGTCTAGAAGATATTGACATGGATTGCTGTGCATGGGTTAAATTCTCCCCAAATCTCAAGGCCTAGGGAGAGAGCTGAAACTGCTTCCCACACCAAGTTCAATTCGCAACTTTTGTGAGCTTGCAGCTTCTGCAGCACTTCCGTCTCTGAGGAAAGTACAAAGCGAGGCCTGCGGCACAAAGTCTAGCAAAGGGCGAAAAAAATCAGTCACAACGTGTTGGCATTGACAGGGCTGATCCGGTGCTGGGAGACCTTGAGTTGGGAGCCTGGCCACATTTGGCCACATCTGGTCACATGCATGCCCGCAATGAAAATTCAAAGTTTTGGAACGCTAAGGTTGGGCTCTTCAAAATGGCTGGAAGTGGTCCCTCGAACTGAAAGCCTCTGGACAGCCTTCAGCGGTGCATTGGCGATATTGTCAATGTCAGGTTCAAGCACCTTGTCAACCTCACCAGGCAGCGAGTGCCTTTCGGCCGCAGAGGATCCTGGCCAGAGAAGCAAAAGCTGCACATATCTGCACATCACATACATCACTAACTCAATTCAGCAATCTCAGCAATAACTCTGAAAGGTGTGCCTCAGTGGTTTTCCTGGTCACCTTTCTGCGCTGGCTTCTTGTGGCGGCCTCTTGGTATGAACTGGGCAACGAACACGCAGCTTTTCGAGTTGCTTGAGCCTTCTCCATCAGAGCTTCATTTGGCTGGCCAGATGCTCTTAGTGGATATTGGGTTTTGTTTAACATCCAGGTTTTGTACTACTTGGGCTACTGCGTGATGGTCGTCCTCACGATCGCGAGGGTGTCCCTCTACTGGACCTTTGCAATCATCAAGGCAAATCGCCGGCCTGAAACGGGCGACGTAGGGATTCAAGTGCGCTCATGGCCATTTGGTGCCTGTCCAGCGTTGGGCACGTGTAGGGTCCGGATTTGTAGCCTGGGTCGATGCCATGTCAGTCCATCTTGGGTGCAGTTTCTGAAATCAGTTGACTCGTGCCGTAGGGGGCGGGCAGCAACATGCTTCTCAGGTCGGTCTCTGGAAGCCAGTTCTAGCCCTTAGATGAGGATTTTAGTGGGAGCAAGGGCATCAAACCAGCATCGATGTCAAAGGTTTTTTAAAGCTTTGCCTTTTGCAGTTGATGCCTCGTCTCTTCCTTGTTGCTTTTGAGCAGACTCCAGCATTTGACTGCATACCAGATGCAACTAAGATGAGAAGCATGTTGACTTGAGGTGAGTCTGCGTTGCATTGCATGTTGCTGGTGTGGAGACAGGGCAGCGTCATGCTTGTGCTGGCCATCCTGGACTTTCTCAAGAACTGCATCTCGAACGCCCATAGTCCCATAGTGTTCCGGCCATTGCATGCGCCTCTACGTTTTTGCTTTGCATGTCCCAATGACGCCACACGCTGCAGGTATGTTCATGTGGTTCATCCCAGACGTCTCCAGTATTGGAAAGGGATGCTTCTACTGCGTCTTTTGGCCGAAGAAAGGCCAGTGGCCAAAGGAGGCCCGCAGGGAAACCCTCAATGGTAGTGAAGAATGTTGGAGTAGGAAGAAAAACTAAGGAAGCGGATCAATTCTCAAATCACAATTCGTGACCAACGGGTTCCAGAACCCTGCGTGATCGTTTGCGGCTAGCAGTTTAGGGTTTCTGGTTCGCCCATCATAGAATCGGGCGCTGGAAAATTAGCATTTGCCGTAGCGCATAAGCATTTTCAGTTACCACCAACATTTTTTTATTAAGTGATGCATGAGGATGTGCCTGTTCGTCGTTGCGGTGACGCTCGTTTGCTATTTCTCGTTAACAGGTCTGCGGCCCCGCACCTGCGTTCGCGGACTGGGCGGAGACCTCGGGAAGTGGTGGCATAGTGCAGCATTAGCTTTCCAGTCCCAAGGTGCCACCATTCTGTCCGCACTGCTACTGAACACCTGCTTTGCAGAGCAGCAGGTTGCTGAACTGGCAGCGCAGAAAAGCATTTGAGACCGAGGGCCAGCGCTGCTGCTACCACCGCCAATGACGACTACAGTCACACGATAGATGTATGGCATAGTTTCTTCTTGTTCATCTTATACCGCTATTCTATTCACAACCTATCAGTGGCACGCTAGGTCCCTTATTTGCTGATAACATTTCAGGTTTCAAAGAAGGGGCCCTTTTCTTGAATCACGTTTTCGTTTAGTCTTTCAACCTACGATGTTGTCATCTTTGTAGCTTGTTCTTTAGCCTGAACTTTGAGAGGTTTTCCAGGCTTGAGCAGCCTGCAAATCTTCCCGAAGTCAGGAGAAGCCCCGACTCTTCCTGAGCATATGCGAGAACTCCATTCATGGGGTGGATTTGGGCTAAGATGGACAATTAAACCATGGATCCTTTGCTTGATGCCTATCCATGTGCTGTCTGTAACAGCATCTATGTTAAATGTAACATGCGCAGGGCAACTTTGTCGGTAGAGCGTCACGGTGCCTGCCGCCATTGGCTTTGCGTGCCACAACGGGTCAAGAAGATCTGGTTTTGGTACACGTCGGTAGGCGGTCATGAAGCGTTGCCGGGAGCTTTTGAGAACATCCCGGTTGATTTGTGCGTGGAAGTCCGGCTTCTTTTAAACTGAATGAATGTGGCTTTTTTTTGATGTGGAATAAAAATTAAGAGAGGATGTCACCATTTGGCTCAGGAGATGATTGCATGTCGGCAAATCTACTTGCCGGGCTGCAGATGACCTTTCTTTGCAACGTTCAGTCCATATGTGGGCCCTAATACAAGACAAGTCTAGCAGGACGCCATGACAAGCAACATTGCACACATGACATCAACCTTCGTCCTCCGGCTCTTGAAAAAGTTTTATTAATGTTGTTTTGAAGTCCCAACAAAGATCAACATGACTGAGATGAACAGCTTCCGCTGTTTGACAAGTGTTCTTATCTTGAGTACCATTCTACCAAGAATGAAGTAAGTAAGATGCTGCTGGCATCATCGGTGGTAGAGTTGAAGGATTAGCTATTGTTGATGCGCATGGATCTTTGCGCTGAATGTCTGTGACCTATTCTTCCCGGGCATTTGTGCTCGGTGGAGATGGAGTTGGCCAAAGTGCCTTCCCCCGACTTTGTCGTGACTGTCGCTGCCTCAAAGAGTTGAAAGGTATTGGCCAAACAAGACTGCAAAGCTTCTTGTTAGTGACTGGTACAATGCTGTCCAGTTAACGCCCTGATGTCGAACAAGTACGTGATAGCACAGCAATGTTGATGTAAGTTGAGGTTGCAACTGCAAGAGGGCTACGGTAGTTTACTGGCATTTGCGTGGAGGCTTGGAGATGCTTGGAGCTAAGGTTACAATGCATCTGAGTGGCCCCAAAGATCGAAACAAAGAGTTCGAGGCGTAATGAGGGGAAGTGACGGCAGTTGGGGTAGGTTGTACTGAAAGTCGGATACAATTCTTGCATGGTGCATTGGTGGCCCTGTGGCTATCTTTTGTATGCATTGTTTGTGTTGTTGCATGATTTTGGTGGCAGGTCGGGCCAACGCGTTGCTTCTAGAAGACCCACTGAGCAGAGGACCCACCGTGGAGCTCAACTTTGTTGAGGCCAGAGCAAGTTGCATCTTGAGGGTATCCTTACCAATCCTGGCCCTATGAGGGTGGGAAAGACAAGCCAGATAAGCCAGGTCCCTTACTGGTGGGTGGAGGCAGATCTTCGCTCGTGTCTGAAGCCTGGATTCACTGGGAATAATTCATCTCCTGCTGAACCCCCACAAGGTGTGAAGCAACAGAATTCATTGGGTGACTGCGCCGTGCTGATTGTGGACGTGTGCAATCCTGGCAGCTTCGACGCTGTAATCACGCGAGGTGGGAATACGTTGTGTTGGGGTCTGCATCTCGTCCCCTAGACTCTGAGGCAAGTGGGCCTTGGCTGCTGGACTCCAGTGCTTCACGGTTGGGACATCCACCGCCAACAGCATACAACAGTAGTTTCCAGCCGCGCAAGGTGCTGAGCTTCACTGGGCCATGTTCTGCAACAGCTCAGCTCGAGGCTTAGTGGCTCTGCAAGCAGCACTGGATGTGTACTATCCCAAAGCTAAGGTCTTGTGACCGGCAAGTGCGCAGGGAGAGCATCGAGTGGCTTGCAGACGAGATGAGCCTGGCTTCTGTGCAGCAGTGGTAGAAGAGCTAGCTAGACTCTAGACTTATCTAGACATCGGCGTGGATGGCTTTCACCCTTTATTCAGGTGAAGCCTTCCCACTTCGACTGCACACTCGAGGCTCCTCTTCAGCCAGTATAGAAACACGGCCAGCTTCCATAGCACCCGTTGAACCAGAGGCAGTGGGAGCTGGCAGCCTTCAATTCCAACTTGAGTGCGCCTGGCTGTGCTGGTGAAGGTTAGGAGTCTCCGTGCATCGCTGCCAACAGCATTGATTGCAGGCTTTTCCTGAAAGTCCTTACGCTCAGACTGCTGTGGTTGAACCTGGAGCCGATGGGCTCACAAGCCAAGGCCATGCGACCAGAATCTTCTTTGGAATTCATGGAATTTGCATGATGCTGTTTTGCCACGAAGCAGGCCAGCACCAGCACATCGACGCTCTCCTCGCGTCGCTGGACCGGGCCTACGCAGCTTGGTGGAACTGGCAGCATGAAATTGTCTGTTGTGTCCATCCAGATGAGGCTGAGCTCTCGTGACTCTGCCACGGCCTTGACGCAAATGTGAGAACAGCTTTGAACCTAGAAGGTTCACTGGCAAATGCTCCCTTCAGGTTGCCGGCCGCCAGTGCGGGGCTCGCCTGCAGCCACGAATGCTCTCGTGGGACCCCTGCTGCCCGGATCTCAAGGCAGCGGCAAGGCCGCAGTCCCGGCCCGCCACGCTGTGTTGGAGGCTGAGCTGACTCAACCCTGTTGCGAGAAGGGCGAGAAGTCGCGGAAGGCTTCCTGAAGTCTTTGAACGCCGAGTCCTATGAGGCTCACATCCTGCCGGCCCGGTACATGCCTGGGATACGGACACCGCCTGATGGGCCTCCTCGAGGCCCACTGGCAAAAGTCCGTGCAACCAGCCTCTCCATCTTGGTATTTTTGAGACCTTAACATTAAAGTAGTAAGTGCCATCACCAGCCAGACAGCTGAAATGCAGAAATCATTAATTTCTGAAAATATTTCTGAAAATATATCTGGATCTTAAGAGACTACAGCCCCATTCCTGCAAAGAGAAAATTCCCGTCACTGCAGTTTCTTTCGAGACTACGTAAAGGATCTAGCTGAAACAAGCGCCTGCATGATATGTATTCACGTCAGCCAATCAGTCATATGATTCATATGTCGCTACTTCAGATGTCCAACACAGAGCATGACGAATCTTCAGGTTTCAAGAGGACCATAGTTGCAGCAGGGGATACTTGAATTTCGATTCCTTTTTCTTCAATCCAGCCTGCAAGCTGGACCTTGCGCAAGCACCACGTGCACGGAGTGGGTTGATGCCAAGACCGTGAGAACAGCATTTTCATGGCGGCCGGCCTGTCTTGACTTCGTAGATCCCAAGACGTCGCACAGCTTTTTGAGAGCATAGGAAGACAAAAACACCATTACAGGCATACAGCAGAACTGCAGGAGCACAGCAGTAATGCACCAAGAAAGTGCCCATGAGAGCCTTCAAACTCATTCCAAAAGCTTTGCACATGCTCAAAGAGAATATGCAACTGCCTGAAACAGCACAGCGAGCGACCCAGAGCCCAACAATTTTCCAAAGATGTCCTGCAGACCATTTTTGGACAGTCGCTGTCTTTTGAACCTGTTCGTTGGCTGCTGCGCAAAGGGGGCAAGCTGAGGGACGGTCGACAAGTTCATAATCGATGCGGCATATCCGCTCATACTTATGATTTTTCATCACGATCGTCATTGCTACTCGTTCTGCCGGCCGGAAAGGCCGTACCTGGTGGGGCTCTGAGTCCAGGTCAGACCCTCAGACCGCGGACAGGGTCGGTGTTGTTGTTCTCGTGTGCCAGTGCTGCAGTCAGTTGGCTTGTCAGGAGCACGTCTCCACGGCGGCCTTCACCTTCGCCAATGCAGTGGAGTGCAAGAGCCCGGTATGCTCGGTTCAGAGATCCGGGAAGTTGGGGGGCGGTTCACCTCTAAATCACCTTTTCCCGTTTTTTTCTCATCTCGGGGGGCTTCTGGAAGACCCTCTACCACAGGTGCTGCACGCCGAGCACCGCGGAATCGTAGCCCGCTTCCGCAGCCGGCATCGAGTTGCGTCCTTAGAGACATGTTCTGACCAAATGTCAACATAGCGATGCGGAGGGCACTTTTTGTTATCTGCCCCGCAGGTCTGGAACAGTTGGAAGGTTTCGGTGAGGAGGCTGTTCTGGAAGCTGAATGAGAAGGGTCGGGTAGCGGGGTAATGCGGCATATGCGAACATCTTTGAAGAGGTTCAAAGGCTGTGACAGGGTACCCCTAATACCGGCCTCCTCATAACCCTAATCAGGACGTTTTGAGATCGCAAGGGGGCTGATGATAGGTTTTCAGAAGGACTTGACGCATCTTTCGGCCGGATCTCCAGAGCGAATGGTCTGCAAGGTAGCTCTCAGTTTACATCTAAAAAAGATCGCTGTTTGAGCGCAAATCCCAAGCCCTAAATCTTAAATCTCTCAGAGGCCCATGCCTTAAACCGTCAACCCCAGCCCCTGAACCCCCTAACCCCCAACCCCACTCCCAAGCCATAAAACCTCAAAAGCCCCACGCCTTTGATCCCCCAACCTTGAAGCCAAACCCCCAAGCTGGCCCCGAACCTTGATCCCCAGACCCAAAACCCTGAATTCCAGACTCAAAATTCGGCTTGCCCGGAAGACATACTGTTAACGCTACCGCGCGCCGGTCAGAAGTGCCGTCTCAGAGACAGTGCAAGCTGCCGTCAGAGTGGCAGCAGAGGTTTATTCGGCAGGTCCAACGGGTTGGTGAAGCAGGAATGGTGCTGGCGGCAGCATCATGTAAGGGTTTGTGTAAGCAGCTTATATGACAAGACCATGCAGGGCTTCTATTCTATGCTAGTCTGGTCCCTAAACGGATTCTGTGAAATTTTCCATGTTCCTCCCTCCCCCTCTAGCCTTCCCTCCCCTGCCTGCTGTTCCGCATTTTGCTGTTCGGCCTGTCAACCCAACTATGCAGCTGGAGGATTCTGTAATTGCCATACAAATGCTTAGGGAGATTTACAAGGCCATTGAGGTATTGTACAGTGCTTCATAAGACTACTGTGTTTCAGCAGCACACCTAGTAAGGGGTCGTGTAAGTAAGCAATTTATATGGCAAGACTATGCAGGGCTTGTATTCTTAGAGTATGCGGGCATTATGTACCTTGCAGTAGCTCTGAAACACATGAAGCACTGTGCAATACCTCAATGCCTTTGTAGAATTTCCAAAGGCATTTGTATAGCATTCCAGAATCCTCCAGCTGCATAGGTGGGGGGGTGGACGGGGGATGGAGGGCTAGGCACCAGGCTAAACTCCCAGCACCTGGCTCCGCCGCGAGCCTGAGGCCCGGCCCCGCAGCTTCACTTGCCGCCAACTGCGAGGTTATCAGACAAAACGAGCAAGTCAGCAATACAAGAATATGAAGATATGAAGCAGACCCATTGCCCCCCCAAGACACTCTTAAATAACTTCCCGCAATGCGGGCTGTTGTGGGTGCTGAGCTGAGGTCTTGCTACTTGTATAGCAGCCTGGAACAAGACCACTTCAAATCAACTTGTCGCTTCCTGGTGCTTCCCTGTATGTCTTGCCATATTAACTGCTTACACAACCCCAGACAGAGTCCGAGGTGTGCTGCTGAAACACAGCAGCCTTCTGAAGCCGTGTGCAAGACCTCAATCGCCTGGTAATCTCCTGCAACATTCGTACGGCAATGACAGAATGCTCCAGCTGCATAAGCTGAGCTTTGCTTCTGCCCTCAGGTTCGCTGCCGGTGCGTGTGTGTTTGGTACGACTACCCCCTGCCCCATCTCAGTGACAGTGCCCCAAGCTTGGTACCTTCGTGAGGGATCACAGAATGAGAGGGGGGAAGGGGGGGAAGGGGGGCAGGGCAAAGATTGTTTGGCAGGCTAAATCCAGCTGCAGTTGGGTTAAAAGAGGCCGAACACCAAAGGCCCTTGGCCTCGGGGGGGGGGGGTCAATTCCAATGTTAGCACGATATTAGGCTTCTTTTTGTACAACTTTAGAAAGGGCCAAAAGGGGTACCCTGCTAGGGGTTCTTTTGAATCGTCCTTAAGAGGTGCGGAGCAGTGACGAGCGCCGCCCGGCTCGGCTGGCAGCAGCGGAGGCCAAGCGTGTGGCCGTTGCCTAAGAGATATGAGAGTCATCTCCTTTTCCTTTTCTTGGGCAGATGCGAGTGTAGTTTCGAGATGCAGGTGGCAGCCGGGCAGCCTTACCGACGGCCGCAGCAAGAGCAAGAGCGCCGGAAAAGCCTGGAGCTGTCCGGGACCAGGGTCATCTTTCAACCGCTCTCCAACCTTCAGCCTCGACTAAAACACGCCGCGCAGGACGACCAGCAGTGGAGGCCTTGCCCAGGACCATGCGCAACATAACTTGGAAGATACTTGCGCTGCAGCCTACCTAAGGCATTTTGGCACGGCAGGAGGAAGCCCCGCTAGAGAGTGTGATAAATCTCACCGCCTTGGCTGACGGAGCTCGAGCTCGTGAGCAGGAGCTGAGGGGTCATGGTTTGCACATGTGCATATGAGCATCCGCTTGTGAGCCCCTTGCAAGACACAACCCTTCTGAAGCCATCACGACATTGTGACGGAATTAGACCGCAATGTTTCTTCGGCATTTCATACGAAGAGGCATTTACATGGCATCTTTTTCTGCATTTATATCTCTAGCCCCGTCTTACAACCCGAATTCCTCTCAAATACGCGTTGGCAAGGATCAGTAAAAGCTTCACAGTCTTCACTATATGTAATTGAGCATTCTTGTTAGTCGAAATCCTGCATGGTCCTGCCAGGAAGCACCGAGCTCGACCGCAAAGCATTTGTTCAAGGTGCGTGGCCTCCAACCTCTCAACTCTTTGCAGCCAGCTTTGCAGCCAGTTGCTTCGTTCAGAGTGGAAAGCTCTGCTTGGCTTAGGCAGTGCCATGATTACAGCACTTCATCAACATTCAGATTCGGGGGAATTCTGCAGACTGTTGGAATGTGTGAGTTAGACGGCAGGTTGATGAGGAACCTCATGGTATCAAGCGTTCATACTGGCACGTAGTGAAAGCATTTCTTGTGCTGGTCGCATTGCGAGTTTGTCGCCTGCCTTTGCGCGTTCTTCGGCTCCATAGAATTCAGAAGCAAAGATGGGGACATGCATTGAGTTTGAAAGAATTGCCCTCTGCATCCTCTGCATCCCATTCTTCAAGTCAGTACCTACCGCAACGGAGTGTTTGATCTTGCCATCATAGGAGTAAGGTCAAATCATGAAGCAGCTGCTTCGGAGAGCGAGTCGCAAAGCGCAACTGGGGCCAGTTTCACGAACGGCGCCAGCACTCAGTGCCTTTGTTCGGCCGGGTCTACTTGGTGGTAGGGTGCAGGCGGCACAACTGGCGAACTGGAAGCCTTGCGCCAGCGCATCACACCGGCCCTGGGCATCAAATGGTGTTAGCCGTGCCTTCGCTACTGTGCGGAACCAGACCCATTACCAAGTTCTGGGTGTGTCTCCTTCAGCCTCACAGGCAGAGATCAAAAAGGCTTATCTTGGTGAAGCCAAGAAATGCCATCCAGATTTAAACCCGTCCAAGGACGCGACCCTCAAGTTTCAGAAGCTGGCCGAAGCTTACCAAGTGCTGGGTGACCCGGACAAGCGCCAGGCTTACGACCACTTCCTCCGCACCGGCCAGGCCTCTGCGAGCAGCAGCGGAGCACGAAGAGCTCACAGCTACAGCGCCCAGCCACCGCCGGGAAACGTGGATGTGGACCCTTTTGAGCTTTTCCGTGCTGTCCTGGAGGCCAGAGGGGGGCCAAAGTCCAAAGTTTCAGCTGATGTAACCATAGGTTGGGTTGTCAGAATCCAAGACGAGGAGCTGGGGTCCGAGCGCCTCATGGAGCGAGTGCGCCTCGTTCAGAAGGAGGCAGTTGAGGCAGGTACTGCCGCGCAGGCAGGGGATTTCTCACCTGCTAAAACATTCGTTTGGAAGCACAAGGGCCTTGCGGCGGCTGTGCTCCTGCCATTGGGGGTTATCCTGCGATTTCCGGGCCTCATTGGTATGGCACTGCGGGTGTTGGGCCTTGTGGCCGCGGCCACACTGCAAAACCCAGCTATGCGTGAGATGTTCGCCCGATGGACTTGGCTCCAGTGCAGATCTCAGCCTCACTGCTGTCCAATCGAGCTTTGGAAGGGTGTTTGTTTTGGAGCCTTGGTATTTTGGCTGGGAGCAGTGATTTGTGCAACCAAACTGCAAGCAATCCGGAACCTGGCAAACCATAATGTTTCTTTCGTTTGGAGCTGAGTCTGTGTCGTTGACTTTTGGTTAAAGCCATGTGCCTTGTGCTAGGGCTGCCTGTCTGGAACTTGACTTGGGCAAGGACGGAGGATCTCAATAGGAATGGACAGATAAACGCCAGGCTTGAAGGTACGAGCTTCTTGTCCCAAGAGGCCACAGTTGGGAAAGGTTTCGGATCACGAAGGGCAGTTAGGCCAAGACGAAAGGAAACGCCACCTGAGGTTGAAGTCTTCATAGAGCAGCGACTGGTAGGAGCATTTCCACAAGGACCAGAGGACAAACATCCCCCCATGACCCATAACTATCCTGTTGAAACGCTGAGGGAGGATGAATGAACACACATAAGTCAAATCGTTGGCGTAAATGGATTTACTTTGGGCTTGCACGCCTTCGTCTGCGAGATCTAATCTTTCTTTAGAAGAGCAGTGCGTGCAAGGTGGCGGCTACTGGTGCAGCGAGCTGCTCGGCGTGCTCAGGACAAGAGACGATGAGGTTCATGCTTTTTGCAAAACCGGTTAACGAGGCAGGACGCTAGTCTAGCGTTGTTGCACTTACTCCTTGGTTGCAGACCTGAGATGGTGCAAGGAGACCAGAAATCAAAAGCTGCATGGACACGAGAAATCTTTGTGGATTTCCCATGGTTGCCACATGTTGGGAATACATGGTGGTAGTCCAAAAGTATAAATCTGGCCTGCAGATACAACGAATATGCGATGTCGCTTGAGTTACAAGTTATTGCTTGAGTGTGTCTGCAAGTTTCGGATCAAGCCTCAGCCGTTCGCCACTTTGCGAAGTGGGCCCGGGGCCTCCTAGATTCAGGTTGCTTTCGGCCTGACGAGGTAGCAGAACCATGTCAATGATTCTTGGCTGAAAGACGGCCACTGACATCTACTTACCTGAATCTCGACCCTTGTTGCAAAACAAGTGCTACATGCGCAAGGAGAGGAACCTTGAAGAAATTCTTCGCCGAGAAGGGTATAGGTGCCTGGAACGAATCCCTGCATGAGTGCGTAGGTGTTTTGCTCTGGAATGTCTTGCAAAGTCGGACACGGGGCGGCGTCGTCTCAGGTTACATAGCACCGGATGATGGCAGCGAGGATGTCTTCATCCACTTCCAGTCACTGATAAACGGTGGCATCTTGATTTGCAAAAGATATTCCTCTGAACTACCAGGCCTTTTCATTGGCATGGCAAGCTTGCTGAAGCAAACCTTGGAAGCATGTGTGCACTCCTAGATTTGCTTTCCAAAGCGAAAGTAGTCCGCATGGGCATTGAAGAATAAACCACGTATCTGATGTAACACGAAGGCACTTGGCAGCGCAGTGATATCACTAGCGCACATTCTTTGGAGTTCCTGGGAGGTCAGCAAACAGCCGCCTTCTTCATAATGCAGTATGTAAACGCCATGGCTCCCATGGCTCTCTCGGCGAGTCCCCCTGTGTCCGAGGGCGGTCCACTGCCCCCGTATGCGAGCGGTCACTCATGCTGTCCGGTGTACCCCCAAACCAGCCGACACGCGGCTCCTTCGCACATGACTGGTTCCTTTGTGCTTCTGGTGTGTCCTCTTTCAGTGCTGGTGGCTGGGCAAGTGCAGTCTCGTTCGCGGATACGTCGGCGTGTGCGAGAGCGTGGCCGTGGGTTCAGCATGCCCGGAGGGAAGCCCGTTTGGACGACTGGCCTAAGAAGCTCAGCTGTACCGCCTCAGTTGCAGGCCTGGCTTGGTGCTAAGATGGATCCAGCTGTTCGAGTCGTCGTGGAACGCATCGAGAGGAATTACGGCCACAAAGCCTGGATAGTCGGAGGCGCGATTCGCGACGTGCTGGCTGGCTACGAGCCAGCAGACGTTGACGTGGCAACGACGATGACTCCATCAATGCTGCAGCAGGTCTTCCGCGATCCCATAATGGCGGGTGCCAAGTATGGTGTCGTCACTGTAAAGCTCAAGGGCAGCTTGGTGGAGTGCGCACAGATCCGCAAGCCTCCAGATGGTATGGAGGGGACGCGCCAGGAGCAGTCGGTGATGGCGGACAGCCTCCTGGAAGATTTACAGGGCCGAGATTTCACTGTGAACGCTCTTGCGGTTGACCTTACCCGTGGCGTCATGTATGATCCCTTTTGTGGTCAGGCGGATATCAAAGAGAGGCGTTTACGAGCCGTCAGCCGCCCTGCTGCTCAAATGATGCGACATGATGGCCTGCGTGTACTGCGTGCTTATCGATTTCTGGCAGCCTATGGGGATGTTCCGTGGAGCCTGGATGACAATCTGGCTTCAGCACTCCAAGAGGAGGGGGCTAAGCTGTTAGCCAACATTTCCAGGCAGAGGATTCTACAAGAGCTGAAGAAAATCTTAAGCCGACCCAGGGGTTGCAACGTACTGAAGCAGATGGCTGAGGATGGGGTGCTGGAAGCAGTTCTGGGTTTCCCAATCAAGGCCCATGGCCGAGAGCTTAGGGCGATCAGCACTCTCTTTGCGTTGCCTGAGGTTTCCACGTACCTGCAGTGCAAGGAGCCGAAGCGGCTGGAGAAGCCGCATCCGAAACTGCAAAAAGAGCCATCGAGCCGTGGACGACTCTTCGATGATCCTTTGAGCTGTGCCGTGCCGGCGGCAAAGCCACAGCCCTTTGAGTATTATGCAGTGGTGGACTTTGAGGCCACTTGCTGGGAGCAGGGGCAGCTTGTGACGCAGCAGGAGATCATTGAGTTCCCGGTGGTACTTCTCCATGCCGCATCTGGCACCTGCATCGGCGAGTTTGTCAGCTTCGTGAGGCCAACAGAGCGCACGCGGCTCTCAAGCTTTTGCAAGCGGCTTACTGGCATTTCCCAGTCCGTGGTGGACAGGGCTCCTACCTTTACAGAAGTAGCTCTTAAGGTCCAGTCCTGGCTGGATGAGAAAACAGGCGGGGCAGAAATCGCCTGGGTTGCAGATGGGGACTGGGATTTAGACGAGATGCTTCCAGCCCAGTGGAGACGAAGTTTTGGCAATCCCGTCCTGCCAGCAACATGGAAGCAGTTCATTGATGTTCGCGAAGTCTTCCAGCAGGTCCATCCAGGGATGCTCCCTGCTGGCATTGGGAAGATACGGATGATGTGTGACTACCTTCGCATACCAAATGTGGGGCCAGTGCACTCTGGCATCGCCGACACTCGCAATGTCGCCCGGATCCTTCTGACGCTGATCAGGGAGGGTGCAATTTGCCAGCGATTCCCGCCTTCGCACGTGAAGGCACTTCCGCGACCCTTCCCACACACTCCAGCGAAATCCAAAAAGACGCAAGTCAAGGCTTCAGCAGCCACACTAGCAAGTCTTGAGTCTGACGCAAGCCCGCCTATCCGGCTTTTCGAGGAGGCAATGGCGCTGATGCTGGCGCAGGTATCACAGGAGGAGGCTTCAGAGGTGATGAAGCAGCTGCACTTCAGCAAGGATGAGCAGAGACTGGTAGCCGAGCATGTACTTTGTCTGGGAGAGCTCCCAGATGCCAAGGATGCCGGAGCGGTCCGGCGCTTCCTGGTTGCCTGTGGAGAGGATTTTGTGCACGCACACCTGCGCCTGGAGCGTGCTTGGCTGAGCGCAGGTTTGCACGACACGGACCAGGACCCAACGCAGAAAGTGGACGCAGCGGATGAGGAGCCCGCGGCGCTTGCGGAGATCACGGCAACAGAGCTTGCCCTGGCAGCGCAGTTGGCGGACGAAGAGGCCTGCGTAAGGTTGCAGAGGCCGCTGGCAGATGGCCGGTGGATCCAAGCTGAGACGGGCCTCGACCTTGACTCGGTCGGCCCCATCAAGGAGTGGCTTTACTATCAACAGGTGGACGAAAACCTTCAGTCACTGGAGGAGGTCAAGGAGAAGCTTAGAAGCCTTGAGTGTTTGGAAATGCAGTCGGCGCCTATGGTGGCATGGCCCCCAGACAGGACGTGCAAGGCGCTTCCCACCTGTAAAAGATGTTGTAGCTTCCTGGTCGACATGTCAAGCGGTACATGAACAGGGCAAGAAGCAAAACCTCTATGCACATGCAAGGAAGCGGACAAATCCTTTTTTGAGCAACCAAGGAGAGTCTGACATGATCCCTGGGGCGAAGCTGAGCTACGACTTGGAGATTAATGACCGAAACGGCAAGACGAAGGCTGAATTGGTTCCATGTATTTGCTTGAGCTGTTGTAGATCTCGAGTGTCCCGGCAAGGCAGTCCGCGTGAAGGTTGAGTCCCCCGGTGACCCCAGCTACGCGTGGAAGGGTGGTGGTGGTGGCGGAGGCGGCAAAGGACGGAGCCATGAGAGTTCATTACAGCTTCTGAGACAATCTGTACTCTGAACAGTTGGCAGTCCAGCTTGCTGAGCTTGCAAGTAGCAAGCCAGCTGCACATGCTTTGAACTCTGTGGCAGCACACTTGATTTCATGTTGAAAAGCGTGCGAGTTTTGATAGGAGGCTATGGCAAGGCTCCTACAGGCCATCTGCACATTCCAGGGGTGTTCAGACTTGTACCTAAATACCTGACCTTTTTGCGCGGGACAAGCTTCTGAGATGCTGTTGCTTTTGCGATAGTCTGGTGTGGCTACAATGGTTGTTAACTGAACTGCTAACACGAACTGATGCGTTTCCTTCTGCGCTGTGTGGAGAGCAGGTTTCTTGCTATTACAGGGGCAAGGGACTTCGTTAGGCAAAGTACTTCGTTGCGAAGCAAGTCTGCAGCATAAATGCTGTTACGATTGCTCGTAATCCAAGAGCCTAGCAATCCTAGCCCTGTGCGCTCGCCTGGCTGTTGATGGTTCAGGGCGCAGCCACGGCACCGGCCCGTACGGATCCTCCGGCTATGGAGCGGGGGGCGGGTGCATGGCATCCAGTGCATGCAAAAGACACGCCCGTGTTATGCAGTGACAACCAGAAACATGTTAATGTGCGGCAGTAAGGAGGCGGCGGAGGCAGCTACGACAACAACGGCGCCTACTGGCAGCAGCTCATGGCGACCCTCACACAGGCCTGAGCGAGCTCAGCTTTGTGCCGAAGCCCAAACTCCCTCTCTTCATTCCGTGTCTTCAGGCGATGGGCGGATATCAGGGAGGCCGGAGTGCAGGGTACAGATGCAACCAAGAGCCAGGAGCTTGCCATGTTTTGGCGGGTCTCTTGCAAATCATGCATGACTGTGTGCTGCTCGCGTTTGCCCTGACACGAGGCGGGAGCGGAGGCGTGCCCGAGTTGTAAGACTCTGGGGGGGTGTTGAACTTGGGCCTGCACCTGCACCTGTGGCAGGCTATGGCTCCTGGAAGTGAAGCTGGCAGGCCGAGAGTGACCGAGTTGCGCTATCCAGACGTTGTAGTGTCTTTGGCAGTTCAGGTGCCCAAAATCTTGAACTCTTTCTTTGGGCGCACCACCTTGCATAACACTCGGCGGTTGCCGTGCCTCAATGCATCTCGAAGCTCACCTGGAAGAGCAAAAGTGCCACCAGCAGTTTGGATAGTGTTTGGATAGAGTGAAACAGCCTGCTTAATTCAACGGTGACTTCTGTCGTGCTTGTGCCATTTCCTGCATTTATTGGCTTGCTGCTTTTGTTGTCAGTACGTTTCGTCAAACTTGCTTGCTAGATCAGGAGCTCCAAAACTCAAAGCGACACAGCTTTTTCTTAGCACCTCAATCAGCCAACCCCACTCAGCAGTTGCAGAGTACTGTTTCGGTAGCTCTATTGTGTCCTACGTTTATATGTGCTGTCGTCCTGGACGAGATGGCAGCTGCCGTTGTGGCAAGCGTCTCAGCCGTTTGCATGTCCCATCAAGGCAATGCAGGAATCCGGCTTGTGAACCCGCACTCTGTAGGATACAGGGACACTCTCGCCGCAGAGAGCGCGGAGTGGAATGACAAGTTCAATGCCCGGCACTCTGTCATTCAGTCAAGCAGGCCATGGCCACAGCTGCACATGACAAAAGTGGAGGTCCTGGAGCTCTCCTCAGCGACGAGGTCCAACTCCCTGGAATGACCGCTTGCGGCTGCCGCGGACCCAGGCATAAGAAACGGGGAGGTGCTCGCGACAAGACCAGTTCTGTCAAACTTCTCTGAATCTCAGGCCGCGCGAGGGGCCGCGACCTGGCGGCGGTCGCTGTGAGGTCGCGGATCTAGGCACCATGGAGGCGCCCCGCAAACCTAGCTCCCTTCAAGATGCAGACAGACGCTGAAGCCTGGGCCAGATCATCAAGTCCGATGCCCTCCGGGAGAAAGCTGAAGCGGAGGCCACGTAACAAAGCTGAAGTTGCGGGTCGGACAGGAGAGCTCAGAGTCATGGCAGCTTGCATGGCGAAGGCGACACGGGCTATCGAAGCCGCTCATCGCGAGAAGACCATGAAGAAGCCTTCAACTCACAACAGGACGTCTTCCCCTTCCTCTTCGCAATCTCATTGGAATGAAGCACTTCACTTTTGGGCGTGAGGACCAATCGCCAGACTGCTCCTGACCCTAGCTCTCCTAGTGCTGGGAGCTTGACATGTACCTCATGAGGATATGAGGAGAGCAATCGTGCTACTGACCCCTTTGCTCTGAAGCCGTTGGAACTTGTTTCACTCGTTGGATAAATCTCCCTGTCGAGCCGACCGGCTGCCTTGCTCTGCCTTGCCCAGGCTTCAGCGCTCGCAGCAACTTCCACGCTGACAGGTTGGGATGCATCATGCAACATGGGCGAGAGAGACTGCAGGCTTAGACTAAGCAATGCCAGGGAGTGATGGGGCAGCCCGAACCTCAGTCCAAAAGACCATCTTACCAACAAACTGGGGATGCGGCACGCGCGAGGCCCCAAACCCTGACAGCATATCTGAGGCCCTAGTGAGGATGGCTGATCAGCTGGACGGACCTGAGGCGGGGCGCTGGAGGAAGATGTCAAACCGTGATTTACGGTATGGCTCGGTGTGGGAAAGGTCTTCAAGAGGTTGATGTAGGTCCGCGGTTTTTGAGATTTGCTGATCAAGCATTCCTTTGGGGTCCAAGGGCTTGCTGCTGAGGCTCGACGCCGGATAGAGATGGAGACGAAGTTTAACAAGGCCCGAAAGGGCTAGAATTGCGGGAAGGCTGCCTTGAAAAGGTGAATGCCGCAACTGCGGCTTCTCAGTGCTTTTGAGAGTTGGAGGATGCTTGCTTGTGTGGCTTTGTGTGGCTTTGTGTGGCTTGCTCCAGGTTGAAGTCGTCCGGCAGGCGGATCAGAAGTTCATCCGTGAGCGAGCCGAGAAGCCACTTGCCATGACCTGGGGTGGTGGGAGGATCCATAGATGTGTTCCGCCTTTTGGCTTGACGCATGCATTTTTTCGATCTTTTGCAAGCTTGTTTTGAGTCCTCCCCGTCTTGATGCAGCCAATGGTTTGGCTTCTGGCCGATCAGGGCCAAAACAATGCGCGATGATCGTTTCAAGCGCCTGGTGGATGCAGTCTGCGATCATGGAGGCGGCCGTTATTGACCAGCGGAAACGAGATCATCGCGAATCCTGTCGAGGTCTAGCAATGGAATGTGCTGAGAACCTCGCAGCGTTTGAGCAGCGCTATCAGTGCTGCCGGCGACAGTTGCATGCTGTGTCGTGCTACAAGCTTGTGTTGCGATCTCACCAGGATCCCTTGTCCTTGCAGTGTTTCCGTCCCATGCTGTTCCATGAAGGCAGCGCCGCTGGGACCTCTATGCTCAATGGGATGAGCACGTGTCCCATCCGATAGCTAAGCAGGCCGGGTTGCAACGCGACGTATTGCAATTCGCAAGCGTCAGAATCAGATGAAGAGTTTGAGCATGACAGGCCTTCGATTATCTGAATCCTGCTGACCGCCTGGCCCAGCAGAAGCTGAATGGTTCCAAATCTGTTAGTGAAGCTGCCACGGGTTTGTTTGTGCAAAGACATCCATTCAAATCATTCTTGGGCCAGGCTGGAAGCTCCCCAACGAGAAGCAGCAGCTGAAGCTGAATGTGTCCAAGGCCAGTCTCAGAGAAAGCTGTAATAGTTGCAGGTGATATTGTAGGCAGATCCGTGACCTTTCACTCCAGGATCCTGTGCGACGCCAGCTTTATGACACGGAAGCTGAGAAAGCCTTCCACGAGGTATGCCTGATACTTTTTTTTTGGATTGAGGAGCTCTCGGTGCGCTGAGCTGAAAGTCACTTAGATGTTGCGTCGCATTGGTAGCTGTCGGGACTTTTTAGCAATCCAGGGTACACTTGCAAAAAGGATTCAGGCTACACGGTTGGGGGGTATTTGGCATTTAGAATGCGTGGTCGGATGAGGGAGTGGCTATCATGATGACTACTCGATTCTTTTTTGACAGGTTGCAGAGACGGTTCTTGGCCGTAGCCGCAGCTCTCCGGACATCTTGCGACGCTCAGCCTTGCGGGACCCGTGTGGCACTGAGTGAACTCCGTTTGCAAAATTTGAGAGAAAAACGTGACTTCTAGTCATGAACAACCCACATTCGGAAGCTTGTTTTGAAGAACTGGCTCCCAGGCGCTCAGTGGGAACGCGCGCTCTGAGTCGGCCAGTGCTTGAGCCAATGGCAGCGAACTTGGCTGCTGTAAGGATGATGATCAGGAAGTAATGAGGGATTTTGCGCATTTAGAAATGCTCTCCTTCGTTCCGAGCGAGTGTCCCATGTCTAGACTCCAATACTGCGCCCAGGACTGGGGACAGCAGCAGCTGCAGGGAACCCTCTTTGGGCGATTCGCCCAGGTGGGCTTGTTTTGCTCCCGACAGAGAGGTTCAGGGGACAGCTGAGTGGCATTCCTGTTGATGCAAGGCCTGTGAGGAGGGACCCAACTTCACACGCGCGCGGCGTGGCGGGACCAATATCTTCGTGCCAGACGAGACCGATGGTATTTCTGCCGTCGCGGGCTTGGTAACTCATGGAGCCTAGCTTTGCCCATCAGTTCTTCTTCAGGCCGGCACCCGTGTCAGCCGCTTGCACGGCTACCATGACATGGGGGTCCTTCGGGGCGACACGGGCTCACAGGGTGAGACATCGAATTTCAAGACTCATGAAGGCGGGCAAATAATTTGGCTATAGGTTCGTATGTAGACGTTGGCTTTTCAGCAAATCTTCTTTTCGGACAGGCAGCTCATCGGGTGCACCTGCCCAAGATCATTTCACCTTTCAGCACAGCAAGGAGATCACTGACCTCGAGTTCCCCTTGGGAAAGAAGGCCTCCAGATGTTCATCTGCAAAAAGCCATAGTTGGGCTCTCATGACGGTTCGTTCCCTTTGCAGGTCTTCCCAGAATTCCATTGAGCGTCTGACTCGAATAGAGCTACCACGAAGTTGCCAGGGATGTTCGCCTGCAAAACATGGACTTTATGAGAAAATCGCTTGTATAAATCTGAGGGCGCGGCCATGGTCTTGCAAACGGTTTCAGCGCACAGTTCCTAGCAATGGTGGACGGAGCATTGCATTCTGGAACGTAGAGTGTCACCAAACAGCAAAGCGACAGGATAGTGCCATTGAACAATAAAGTAGTGCCATTGAACGATAAAGTTCATGGACTCAGCCAAGAACAATTGCTGTCTGGAGACTTAAGTAATTCGGATCGGTGAGCTACAGGCCAGCTCCTGAGGAGCTCGACCTCTGCACTCTCCAGGAGTTGCCTTGCACGCCGGCGTAAACTCCTACAGCTGGAAGCTTCAAGCCCAAATCTAGACCCATTTCATCCATGCATCCATTATCATGCGCTTCTTTCTCGATCCTCGCCCAAGGCGATGGTTCCTTCATCTGCCGGCGAGCAGTCAGTTGAAGCCGGCAAGCCGGCACAGTCGTTCAAGAAAAGGCGAGGTCATACGGCATGCTAAGGTTTGGTGGCGCTCTATGTCTTCCGTAAATCTTCGGGCTACCTTGCGAGGTTGGTTCTTTTCGGAGCACCACCCTGCATACATCTGAACACACACACACACCTCGTCTATCCTTTGCCAGTAAGTCCTCCCTCGGAGTCCCAGAGTCTTCCACCAAAGCGGAGCTTCCATCCGTCTGGGCCTTTTGCCATGTCGGATGCAGCCGCGTCTGCAGGGAGCAATCTCTGGCTTCAGGGCCATGGCCCCGTCGTGGCTGCAGCTCTTCACGAATGGCAGTTGAGGCCTGAGACTGCGTCCAGCAGCTCTGTGCACAGCTTCTGCAGTGTTAGCATGGTAGACGCGATGGAGCTTGACACCGCCACCAAAGCTCCGACACACAGCCGCGAGCTGCTGCACGCATGGGGAGAGGCTTGGAGAGAAGCTGGGACAGCTGGGAGTAGCCAAAGACTGCAACAGCCACAAGCTGCCAGCGACTCGCATCATTTGCCTTGCAACTCTTCGAACGGCTGCGAGCAAGCAAAAGCAAAAGCAAAAGCAAGAGAGACTTCCCGTGAGCCTGGCAACGCGGAAGGCAGCGCCTTGCAGCCTCGGTCTCCTCGGTTCCAAGAGCCTGAGGAGCGCTTGGCAGATCGGCCGGCTGAGGCCACTCTTCCGAGGCCACGTGCGGCACGGGCCAGCCGGAAGAAACCCAAATCCAGCGATGGCCTTAGTGGCGCTGCATCAAGCTTCAGCGCAGCACTGCAGAGGCGCGAACCAGGAGAGACCTCGCCCCTTGGACATCTGATGCTCACCTCAGGGACCTGCAAGGTTTTCTTGTTCACGCCGCTGCTGTACCTTCTTGAGGAAGCTGGCTTTTCTTTGGCAAGCACCTTCGGCGGTGTCCATGGAGGAGACGCCGTTTGCGTTGCCTCCTGCCAAGTTGCAGCAGGGATGCTCCATCCTTTCCAAGGACGATTTCGCGACGAAGGCCGCTCGCTTGGTCCAGGACAACTCTGTGAGTTTTCATCGGGAACTTTGCTGCTGCTGTGGCAGTGCTAAGCCCTGATCAGGAGCAAGCGACATTTGTGCAACGTGTGGAGGAGGTTTGACGATGGGTTCCTAGTTTTCATCTTAACGTTGCAGCGAGCAAGGAGGACTCAACAGGAGTTCAGCAGCTAGCTGACAAGTAAGGACAGTAAGGACTGCTCTCCTCTTTTCAAGCTCGCTGTTGTTTTTGACAGGAGCTGAGTGAGCTTGGCCACTCGCTGCTGCGTGAAAGATGCCTGCGCGAGGCATCCTCCACCTCATGCTACGGGGTTGGGTTCTACCTATAGACTATACAGTTTGAACGTGAGAGAATCCTGAGGAAAGGTTGGAGGAAAGGAGAAGCTTGCTTCTTGAATCGTGTTTGGCATGTGCTGTTTCTCAATAGCGTGTGCCATTTCCCAATAGGCTCGAACGACAAAAATTCTCCTTGCACTTTAATTTAATCGCTAGCACGAGACCGCCTCGCCCGCCCACTCCCCATTCCCCACCCCTCGCCAGCTTACCTCCCCCAGCCCTCCTAGTCTCCGAACCTGGATCTGAACGCCCCAGGCTTCCTGGCCTCAGTGGATTCATCTATGGTTCGTTTGCAGCTGTAGAGAGCAGATTTTAGTACATGTTGTGTGGCAGTACGCATCCAGCTAGGACTCGAAAATACGAGCTGGATACACGGCGGCGCCATTAACAGAAAAGTGCAGAAACAGTGTTGTCGACCATGGTCAATCCAAATCTCCAAGTGCTCATGGTAGGCGCTGCAGCAGCAGGTGGAGTGGCAGGACCAGGTGCCCTGCCAAATTAACGGCGAGTCAGATCTGAGACAAGCCGGCAAGATTTGGCAAGGTGCGCCGACAGGAGGCCAAGCAGCTCAGTGAGGCTTGGCCTCTCATTTTCAGTCGCCATCACAAATCGGAGCGCTCAAGACAAGTTGATGGGGTGCGGCCTCGTTCGAACGCAACAGCTCGGATGGTAGCATGGCTAAGGCTAAGATCGTAAAGCACTGGGGATGAGCTGCCACGTTGCAAAGCAGAGACCGCCATACACAGGCAGGAAGTCAGGTAGGGTTGAGAATGCCCGGCATTCCTTTCTGAAAGTAGTGTGTTGCTTTGACAAGCCTCTGCTTTGCGACATTCGCTTAAAATTCTGCAAGCAACTTTAACTTTGTGTTTTGGGCTTCCGGCAGGATTTGGAGCAGCTTCGAACGGACTTGGCGCAGGCCATGGAGGTGCAGCAAGGGACATTCAGTGGCTTTCAGGTGCAAATATGAAGCGGGGCAAAGTTGTGGGAAGACTTGACATCATGTACACAATGAAGTGCTAAAAAGTGGGTGGTCACAATCAGAGAGTCAGAGCATGGCTCAGTAAAGATGAGGCGGCTCTATGGTCTGGCAGGGAGGTGACGGTGGTGCGCCAGGACCTGTTACATAGCGAGCATTGGTGATGGTGAGGGGCACGGCAGCTTCGCTATCGTTTTCTAGCCGCTCTGGGACTTCGCCTTTTGCTCAGTCAGGAAGTGCCGCAAAGGTCGGATCAGAGTCAGCTAGCGTAGTTCGAGAGTTGCGCCGTTCTTGTCGCAATGTTTGGCTGCGGAGCAAACGCTGGACAACAAAAAATGCAGGCAAGATTGCCACATGACTGAAGCCTGCTGTCATGGTTGCAGGGCGTACTGTTTCTCTGAGCATTTCAATGCAAGACCAGGGCTATGTGTATTCATAAAATGGAAGCTTTTCTGCGTCAGGCGCACATTAACCAAGTCCTAGCTCAGCACAACGCGAACTACAAGGCCATGTATGTCTCCTGGAACGACAATCAGCGTCAGCAGGGGTCTTGCTTCGGGAGCAACATCACTGACGCGCGTCTCAAGGGCAAGGCCAGGATTGGAAGCGCTTTTCAACCCAATCTGTGTTCCATACGGGCACTGACATGAGAATCGTTTAAAAGTTCCCTGAGGATGGCGAAGACTTCGTAGTGCTTTGGCCGTAAGTGATTGCATGACCGCGAAGGGCTGCCAGGAGGTCCCCCAAAGCTGTTGTGTACACCGCTGTTGCAGATGCAGTCCTGCCCGACAACCACCTCGTCCCATGCAGAGACCAAGGTGGTGAGGCCGCAGAACTTCAACGAGCGCATTGGGAGAGTTAAAGCGGCTGACGTGGCAGTCCTGGTGGGGGGTGGCACGAGCCTCCAACCTGTTACCTTGGAGCAGTATCTGCGAGACTTTCATTCGCATGCCGCCTACGCAGGTGCTGTTCCACCAGGCACCTCCCTTCTCTCCGAAAGCCGGGACCGCAGTGTTGGCATCCGGTTTCAGGCCGTATTCCTGCCAGTCGCCAGTCAGCCATGGATCTTTGGACAAGCCAAGCCAGCTGTCAAGGAGTTTTATCCTGACACCTACAACTACCAAACAAAAAGCTGGGAAGACCCCCGGAACATCGTATTGCTGTGCACTTCACAGGGGACTTTTGTGCAGCAGGATGGGCCCGGAAGCGTGCCACAGTTTCTACACACTTGTGCGGGACAGGGGTGGCGCAAGAAGTACATGGAAGCCATGGTCACCCGTCACGGCGTGAGCATGGGCCAAACGGAAACAGCGGAAGAGCGAGCCGAGGCCTTGCGACAGGGCAAAGCCGCCTCCACTGTCATTGGCACACGTGCCATGGGCACCGGCTTCAATCGGCTGATGACGATCCAGATCCCAATGAAGCAGCAAACGCCAGCTTTCAGGGTGCCAGCTCCATGGGCACCTCCTGCAAATCCTTCAAACTACCCTTTTCCGGCTCCAGCAGGAGGCAGCCTTTTTGGCAGCGTGGGCCCCCTCCCTGGCGGCCTCCAGTGCAGTGCTCCATTCGCCAGTGCACAGTGCCTGCCTGGAACAGGATCCGTAGCTTGCCAGGCATTTGGTAGCTCAGCGGGCCCGGCTTTGGCCGGCAGCTGTGGCGGCGGCTTTTTTGGCTCGTCTCCTCCCACTCTTTCAGCAAATGCCCATGCAGCTCGAGTATCCACAGGTTCAGATGCTGGACCCCTGGACCGACTCCGCATGGAGCGATTTGAAAGAGATGCAGAGTGCTCGGTGACCATCACAGTGCAGTTCTATTTCGTAGTTGAGCAAGGCCGCAACATTGACGAAGCTGACATCAAGCGAGCCGTTGATGTCTGCGAGGAAGCTTACAAAGGCTGCTCGTGGGATGGAAATCTGATGGATTTAGGCTTTCAGTCTGCTTTTGCCAAGAAAGACATGACTGCCACTGATGCTCTGAAGATCGTGAGTGGCACGCCACCACCCTCTGTACTTGTGTTCCCTGGCAACGACTCCTTGGTGCCCAAGCCAGCTTGGCCACAGCCGCCGTTCCCGTCTGCACCGTCGAAGTTCTTTGAGCCCCTTGCTGGGCTTGATGCAGACCTCAAGGCCTTGCTCATGAAGGTTCCACTGACACAGGAGGGATACGGCTGGTTGCACGGCACGGCCCTGAGCCTTGCAGGCAGAATTCTGAGAAGGCCTTCCAATTGAACGAAGGATCTCAGGGTACAGTATGGTACAGTGAACATTTCCCTGAACCGATAAGGAGCCTGCTGGAGAAGAAGCAGCAGCTAGATACCGCCTTCCACATCTTCCGGCTCGCAGCCGATCTGCATCTGCAGATCCATGGTCAACCCGATGGCTTGGCACTCTGCAACATGGCATGCTGCCAGGCTCCACATTTCAAGGGTTCGGCAAAATGGGGGCAAAAGATTCAGACTGGGTGGCTGGTGCAGTGCGGTGCAGGCAGTGGCTGTATCTCTTCAGATCCAGCAGTATCGGGCTGCCTTTCCCGGAGCCTTTGGCTTGGGAAGCTGCTCGCAGGTCCCCGAGATGGCAGGCCGTGCTGACATGGATTGTTGCAGGGCGCTGCAAGGTGATTCTAGATCTGCAGAACTGTGAAGCTGGTACCAGGCGGCGTGGTGGCCCCTCAGCTGCCTCCCAAGCATACCTTTGGATCGTCCGTGGCAACGCTGTGCGGCTTGGATGAGCAGACAAATGATCTGGCTTGCAAGGCTCAGCAGAGCCTGCATCCAATAAGGTGACGCTCGTCTGGATGCGGCCGTCGGATTACTCTCAAGCGCCATTGGCGCTGGCTGGCGGCAGCATGGACACATGGCGACTGCCTGGGACCCAGTGCTTGCAGCCGGACAGAGTCTATAGTGGGCGGCATGTTCAATTTGCCCAGCTTGACAGCCAAGTAGCCAAGTGGAGCTTAGGACCCTGATCTGGAGTCAGTGAGAGAGCTGCGCAAACATCGCTTTGACGTTCTCGTGCAGCTTGCTCAGAGCATGTCACATGCTCTCTAGCAATGCTGGCTCTTGAGCATACCTTGTGGCCAGAACCTGTGATTACCTTATGTTGCGGCCCCTCTCTTGGCCTCGCTTAGATAAATTCGCTGAATGGCTGATTGTACAGGTCTCAGCTGACCACACGGCTGTGTCATCCTCTCAGAGGTGTGCAGGATTCAGTCAGGAGTGCAGTGGACATTTCAGCGCTCGCAAAAGGCACGCATGACGGCACACCCTCCATGCTGGCTTAATCTGCAACGGCCAGTCTTTGAACATGCATGGCCAGTGGGTGTAGGCCTGCAGACCTTTGGCTCGTGATAAGTTGAGTACATTCTGCCATAATGGCGGGCCTTGCTGTTTGGATTACTCTCTTCTCACTGGGCTTCCGGGGCTCGTGCTCTGCAGACCAGATGGAGGGTGCTGACAGGTTCGCTGCTGAGACATTTAGCAGTAATTGAGCCTTCGTGGAGCCTGTGCTGTCTTTGTCCCAGACATGGAAGGCAAGAGCCTCTTGCACTCTGGGCGACAGTGTTGCACAACTCCTCGGGGCAGGCCTGCCGTGAATCATTGTCAAGGGTTGAGGTTCACTCCGTATGAAGTGTGTGCAGGCAGCTCCAACATATGCATCCATGGCTGGGAGCGATCCCGCGAGTGGCAAAGATTCCTGGACAGAATTTGAACTCTGACATTCTTCATGCTTTTCTTTGTCTGTCAGAGCTTCCGGGTTGGGTCGAATGAGTCGAATCAGTAGCACTGCTGAAAGTGGCTTATGAGAGGAGCTCAGGACTGGAAGTCAAAGCCAAAGCAGCAGGTGAAAGCCTGGAACAACAGCATGCAGCATACATATCACACTTACATTCCTGGCTCCTACCAGGGCTTTCCATCCAAAGTAGCTAGCATCCGGGCCAACGCGGCTGCCTCCAAAAAGGAGCAGGATTTTCATGGCTACTCTCAATCTTATGGCACCCTGGGCAGTATGGGCGTCCACCAGGCCCAGAATAGCCATCATAGGGGTGGCGACCACCCTACACAGGAACGGAGTGACGCAAGTCACCAAACAAGCGACTACGACAAATTCATGCCAGACTCGGGAAGCCAGCTGGGATCTGGCGGAGACTACAAACGGTATTTGAAGAACTTCGACCGCACGGGCAAAGACGAGGATTACCAGAAGTACATGGGCAGCTACAACACGCATGGGCCCAGCAACAAGTATGTCCCGGATCTTGATGAACTGCAGGATGACGAACGTTCTGACTTCATTCCTGCCAGTTCTGAACAGCGTGCTGAATCTAAGAGCCACTTAGTACCAACATGTGCAGTTGTGCCTTTTACAACACTTTGGAGAGGATTTCGAAAGTAAGATATCCATGCATGCAGATGCTGGCGCACTTATGCTCCATCAAGGCCATTCATCGGACTTTGCGCCAAGTACCAACGCTGAACACGCTGCCCGAGAGAGTGGGACTGATCGATGGTCCCTGAGCCCCTACATGAGCCGTGGCCGAGTTTCATTTAGGATTTTAATGTGACCTCATGGTGTTCGTGACAGGGGTGTTTGGAGAATTTCTTGCCGGATTTGTGATAAACCTGGTGGGGGTGGCTGTTCTGCTGTCTGACCTCCAATTTTCTAGCTCACGTAGCTGACAAGGTTCAGGGTCCTGTCTGTCTGTCTGTCTGTCTGTCTGTCTGTCTGTCTGTCATTTCGGTTCCCACTGGGAGCGGGCTGTTCGCAGAAAGATTCAGACTGCGTTGCTTCTAAAGTTACTTGGGAAGGTGCATGATGTGCATGCAGTCTCGCTGGAATCGGAAGCAGTCTGGGTTAGTTTGGACATTATGGAGGGCAGGCATATTTTCATGTGTTGTTCAGGCTGGGGTTACACCAAATAAACCCCCTTTCAGAATGCTGTCCTCAAGAGGTAAGAAACCATTTGTGCACGGAGAGGCGGCTGTTTTCTTTGCCATCCCTGTCCTAAGGTCCGAGACTTTACTGAAGTGTCAGTGCGAATTCTCAACACCTCACTCCAACCGTCTCCAACTCAAAAGTCAATCCGAGACGCGCAGGCACCGGACTGGCTGGAAGCAGCAGCTATCAGGGGTCATCCCATCCTTTGTGCCTGGCGAATTTGCGTCCGCTCAGCCGCCGCTCGGCGGGGAATTGGGAATCGCTTCCTTGAACTTGGGGTGCCACTTGTCTGAACTTGATTTGGCAATTTGGGCCCCTGGCGATGCAGCATTCTAATACAGCTCAGGAGGGCCCCTGCTTCGCAGTCGGCATTCTTGGCGCGGGCGAGCAACACCAGCAATACCAGCAAGGACACGCTTCGTACAGAGTTCTCACTACGGCTCAAATTGCGCAGACACTGTATCGAGTTTCATTGCAGGACTGGTTTTCTTGGTGGCAGTTTCCGGTGGGGCTGCTTAGCTGACACTAGAGTTTGGCCGCGCAGAGGACGGAGAGGAGTTTGAACCATTTTGCGTAGATTTTCTTGTGGAGGTTGTATTGTGGACACTGTGGGGTGTACGTGCAGATCTATGCAGCTCTCAAAGGGTCATGTTTCAGTGGTTCATGCATCTCGAGGCTGTGGGCAGCATTGACTGTGGCGATGCTTGTACTGAGCTCAGCATGCTGTAGCATGTTGCAGCATGCTGTGTTGCCATCATTTTCGCATACATTAGCTTCTCCCAGGCCAAGGCGTTCATCGGCCGGAGGCAGAGTGGCCGGTGCTTGCGGGTGCTCCAGGGCGCTAGATGGCGCTAGTGTGTCTTTAAGAGATATGCCAGAAGAACAGAACCTTTTGCCTGTAGACCCAACAACTGGCTCTGGCTGAACATCCGGACTCATGGTGACCTCATGTGACATGGCCTTGCAGGACGATAACACCTCCAGAACAATTGCTTGGTTGAGCGTACCATGGCTTCGTGGCTTGTGACTGGTCCAGATCAGCGGGGGATTAAGGGCCTCACTGGTCTTGTGCTGGTCACCGAAGAAACTACTCACACCCGGATCCCTGTAGACCTGTAAGTGCAGACAAGGTCAAGACCTATGAGTCAACAGCATGCAAGGTGCTTGCTGTCTGCGATCTTCAAGTGTCGCGCAGCGGACAAATTCGAATCGTTTTTGCTTTGTATATATGCAGTCAGCTACACCTTTTGCACGAGAGTCGTACCTCGTATGACGCTCTCTGGCAGACTTTGATCTGTCTTGAAATTTAGACTTGCTCACAGCAGTTTGGCTGTTCTTGCAGGAACAACACTGGGTAGCACGGGGGCAGCACAGGCACCTTGCCGCTCATCCGGTCTGAACCTTTGAAGCTAACAATAAACTCCAGCATTTTCAACGGCTTCAGACTCCTCTCTTTTGACCAGGGCGCGCTTGCAAGCGTTGACCCTGAGCCAAGCATCAGCCAGCTCACAGATGCCCCACAGATCGAGCCTTCCTGACTTTCTGAGATGTAAATACACGTCCCGATGGTCTCGTAAGTTTCTTCGTGGGTGCTCCGTCTCAAAGCCAGGGCTGGCTGTAATGATAGGCAGCTACAGCTGTACAGATAGCTGCATTATGCTGCGTTGAGTCGGCATGCTCAACACTCGGGTTTGTCGCGGACGCCTACGTATGAAATCATGTGCTGTGCTGTGCTGTGCTGTGCAAGACGGCTATAGCTGTCCCAGTTCAAGTTGATCCGTCAAGCACGAGATGCCGAAGTTACCAGGACTTGGCTAGGGCTCGGCTGAACGGTGGTGAGGAGCTTGTCCCCAAGTGCTTGATGCCGTGTTTGTTCTGCAGCTGCATGGCAGGAAAGGGAATTCTGTATGGTCATTCTTAGGCCCTCGTTTCTCCTGGGCAGCGCGAAGGCCAGCTGAAAGGATCTTGGTCTAGAGGGCTCTGGTTTTTTCCAAGATTCCTCTTTGCAGGATAGAACAAAAAGTTGCAGCAGACCTTGGCGTGCCGCAGGTTGAGGAGATCTCGTCCAAGGCTTGGGCTGAAAGGCTTCAAGTGGTAGAGGACTCATGCTAGAACAGCAAACACAAAACCAGCAGCAGAGTGATCAGTGTACAAAGTGTTGCTCTTCAGCAGCCTCCCAATTTGTGCTGCTGCTCTGCCGCCCAGAAATTGCTTTCTAATCGCTACGCTTTGCAATCAGACTTCCGCCAGCTGCCATGAAACTAGTAGGAAGTATACTGTATACTTTGGTTGCGGATTGCTGAGCCGTGAGTGGCAGGAGAACGTGCAATCGTGCAGCAAGAGCCTGGCCGAGAACGGTGACTTCTTTGCAAAGGCGGTATTAGGGTGAAGACGCAATTCGAAAGAGCTGTAGCAGCAGCAAAGAAAAGACCACCGCAACACCAACGGTATTATGTATCGCGTCAAGATTTGAAGTAGTAGTCAGAAAACTCATCACCGCAAGAGGTCTGCTGATTGAAGGCTGTCGTGTTCGCCAAGTTTCAGGTACCCCAACTGCGTCTCCAGTCCGAAGCCCTCTCCTGCAAATGCTCCTCATTATTACTTTTGTGATTATTACTACTACTAAGATTGTTATTATCATTATTCTGATTACTATTATTGCAGTGGCTATTACTCTCATTACAATTACTATTGCTGCAGGCTGTGGCTGACATGTCACGGCGGATCTCGCGGCTGTCCCACGACTGCGGGGTTTTGGAGGAGTCCATGCGCCAGCTGCAGGCAAACTTACTGGGAATCTAGTATATTCGGATTGTATAGGGATCATATTCCTGCATTCCCTACTAAGAACCAGTAAGCAAAAGGATGCCACTTGGCCTTCTACGACGTTTCTTGCTTGAAGTTTGATGTTCTCAGATCGGTGCAGGCGGGATCTGCGAGTTCTAAGCCAGCAGTTCCGGGATCGGAGTTGGCCGGGTCGCCCGGTGCACACCATGGCGATGCAGATTATGAAGATGTACACTTTGACTTTGGGGTCGCGTTGATGCGTTGCGTGTGTTGTGTTCGTCTCCGCTGCTTCCAGTGTTTCTCTGATTAGCCACGCCGTACGCAGAACGAGCTCTCTCTCCCCTGACGCCATGGCAGAGCTGACTTCAGTGGCCGCCCCACCCAGCCCCGTCAAGGAGGACGGCAACGCGGTGATGGACGACTCCAAGGCCTACAACACGGAGAAAGCAACCGTGAAGTCCGAGAGACAGACAGGACAGACTGAAGAACGGGAACCCAGCACGCTCATCCTCTTCTGGCTGTGCTGTGTCAGCGCCTTGGAGGGCCTGGACACACAGCTGGTCCCAGCATGCCAGTTTGCCCTGCAGCGAGACCTTGGCCTAAGCCTAGGACACTTTGCCATCCTGACCACCGTGCAGATGGTGCTGACCAATCTGGCTGCACCCTTCTGGGGAATCCTGGCAGACCGTGGCACCCTGAAGAAGAAACACATCCTCTTCATTGGCGCCTTGGGCGAGGGCCTTGCAGTCGCCATCTTTGCCTTCGTCCCAAACTTCTTTGTCATGGTGCTCCTGCGCGGCATGAGCGGCTTCTTCTTGGCTTCGCTCCGACCTGTCTGCAACGGTCTCATTGCAGACCTCACCTCAGACAACCGCCGCGGCAAAATCTTCGGTCGAGTGCAAAGTGCTCTCCTTTTCGGCATGTTCTGCTCCCTGCTTATTGCAGGGAACGTTGCGAACCCTTACGTGGGTGACATCCCGGGCTGGCGCTTCCTCTTCGCAGGTGCGGGCCTTGTGGCTTTCTGCGTTGCTGCTGGGGTTGCTGGCTTCCTCGTGGAGCCACCGCATCAGATCGATGCTACCTCGGACAAGAAGGGCTGCGCTGCTGTGCGCACAGAGCTCTGCACAGTCGTGAATTTTCTGTGCATCCCAACATTTTGTGTCATGATTATGCAGGGCGTTTTTGGCACGATCCCTTGGAGTGTCATGGGCAACAACCTGCTCTACTTCAAGCTGTGCGGTCTGGAGGACTGGGAGGCAAGCATCCTCGCCTCGGAGGGCACCGTCATGGGGATGTTCGGCAACATCATTGGAGGCATGGTGGCTGATGCCCTTGCCAGGCGTTTCGGCTACCACGGCAGACCTCTCAGTGCGCAGATCACGGTGGCCATTGGCATCCCCTTGGTCTTCTTGCAATTCTACGGCATTCCTGCTGGCTCTGGAAGCTTTGGAACCTACTTTGCACTCATTGCTGGCTTCGGCGTCTTGGGATCCTGGGCACAGTCCGGCACCAATTTCCCCATCCTCTCCGACATTGTGCCAGCCAGCGATCGTAGCAAGGTGATGGCTTGGGAGTGTGAGGGGCCCAGCAAGCAAAATTGCATTCACGATCATCCCAGATTCTCTCGAAGCCCCAAGACCCTACTGACCCTACTGTAAGGTGCCATGGAGAACTCACTGGCAAATGCCATTGGCCCCGCTATGGTGTCCACTTTGGCCACAGGAGTCACCTGGTGGCAAAGAGGGTAGGCTCAAGACCACAGTTTTCCACGGCCCGCGCCTAGGTCTTCGGCTACACCTTTGGTGAGGAAGAGAAGAGCGGAAAGTCCCTGCACTCTGCGACGGCTCTTGGAAGTGCCCGGGTTCTCAGACATGTGTAGACCTTCGTGCAATCGGGGACATTTTCACAAGTCTGGGCTAAGGCAATGGCGGCTACCATTTGCATTCCTTGGCTGATCACCCTGGCGGCCTGGTGCTTTGGATTTTCTCACAAGCTCCAGCCTGACCTAATGCAGCATGCTCGGAATGCTCGGAGTCCGAGGCCTACACGTTGCTCCACTGGAGCTATCCCCGAGACATGCGCCGTCTGCTTGCAAAGCAGCAGGCGGCGACTGAAGCTCAGGCAGAGTGCGGACAGTGGCAGGTTAAAGGGGTGCCCCAAACTTCCACGATTTCAAACGCATGCGCGCGTGCATGCAGGGGTCATATGTCAGGGATGACTGGTGCAAACGAATATAGCGACTAGACACTTCAACTTGGGCATCCAAGCTTGGATTGCTCAAGTTAATATGCATTTCCTCACCTTGCGCTAGCCTTGAATCGCAGATAAGAGATTGCACGTCTTGATTTGAATGTTATTGATGACAAGTTTCTTTCGGCATCAGCTATCTTTTCTCGACTGGAGCTTTTATGAATGTTTACTAGTTCTCACAGCATGACCTGAAGAAGTCATGTAAGATGTCAGTTCTTCTTCTTCGTCGTCGTTGCCATTGTAGTAGTTGTCGTCGTTGTTGTCGTTGTTGTCATTGTTGTCGTGGTCGTGGTTGTGGTCGTGGTCGTGGTTGTGGTCGTGGTTGTGGTCGTCGTCGTCGTCGTCGTCGTCGTCGTCGTCGTCGTTGTTGTGTCGTATTCAACATTTCATGACTCTTTTCGCAAAACAGAGAGCAGCTCCGGAAAAGATATCAAAGCTCTGTCCAGCATCCCTCATGTCATAATTCCTCTGTCTCTTTGTCTGTCTGTCTGTCTGTCTGTCTGTCTGTCTTTCTCTCTCTCTCTCTCTCTCACCAATCTTTTACTCTTGCCCGACGCTCCAACCAGGGACAGGCGTAGGCTGCCCCGATGGTGCTACCGGCCACCCGGGTTGGCACCCTCGGCGAGGCTGGGGTTTGACAGTGATCTATGTGACAAGGGGTTGATTGGCTGATTGAGGTTTGTTGACAGGCTTCATAGGGTATCTTTCATAGGGTATCTTTCAATCTCGTGTGATCTGTGTGGGGTGGCATCAGGGCTTCAAAGTGTGGCACTACGACCGTTGTTCTTGTGGGGCTGGCAATGCTTTGAGTTCCATACCTTTGATGCAGACAGGAGGATAGGTTCCGGAGGTTTGTCTAAACAAATCTGCTTCTAGCCTCATGTTTCGGCTTGTCTCCTAAGCTGTACTTGCCGCTATTGTCCCATTTACATCGTGCCTTCATAATATGATTCTTGCAGATGCGCGCGGCTCATTCATGCGAAGCTGCTTGGGCTGAAAGCTTGCAACAAAGCGGATTCCAAATGTTCATCGTTAAGCGGAACCACGTGCCTTTTCGACATGTCTTGACGTAAGAACTTGTCCGGTCAAAATGTCCTTGGCCAAGCGTCTTCAGGTTTTCCTTGCGGGTGGAGCCACCAGTGCTTTAAAGGCGTGCTGAAGGCAGGGTGGGACCTGCCACAATGTTGCAGCATTGAGCGGTGTGGACTCCTCAGCCTCTGATTCATGAGCTTTCCTGATGGAGGCATGTCCACTGATGGGCGGAGAATTCGGTACTAGCCGGATTGTGAGCGATGCAGACCAGCTCAGATACTTTCGGTACCTTCAGGAGATTTTCGGAGATTTCAGTACAGTGTCAAGGGCCATCTCCGCGAAAGCAGTTCGCATCGCTCTTCATCCTGGCTGTGCACGGAACTTGCGCAGACTGAGGCATTTTTTTTGAAGATGCCTCTAGGCGTGAACTTGACACAATGGGCACGCTTGCTTGATGTGCTCCTAAAGTCGAATTCACATTTTGATCTTTGTGAGGTGCGCGTGCAATCGCATGACCGCCTCCTTTCAACGCAGCCACATTAAGGCGAAAGCGTCTATAGTGGGCCAGGCCTCTTGATGACGCCATGGTCCTCTGACCCTAGGTCTTCTATGGGCACTGGGCACCTCCCGAGTTCTGTGGGGGAAGGAATCCCCTGCACTGAAATATTTTAGACTTGCAAACAGGACTCTAGAACACCTGCTTCCACAGACCTCACTAGGTTTCCATGCCCCGTATTCAATGGCACGTGGCCTACAAGGGGACTACGTGGCCACCTGGATTTGAAGTTCTATCCCCTTCCAGATCGATGTAAAGGCAAACTGGAAGTCGCAGAACAGGACAACAACAACGAAGCGCCTCATGCACGCATGTCATGCGCAGAAAAGCCATCTTCTAGTGCTTTGAATTTAGATTTGCTTGTTCTAGGTTGTAGCAACTGTTGTGTGCTGCGTGCAAGTCCCACCAAGACCATGGTTGCCTGTCACATCGCTCAAGGCCTTGCAAGCGGACCCTCTCGATAGTTGGATCTGCGACAGGCCAGCACAAGACTACCATGCAAGTGCTGCAGATTCACAAACTTGCCTGCAGCAGCTGCAGCAGCTGACAGGGCCCAACCACCAGCTCATGGGGACACGCCGGCGAACGGGCCTTCCGCAGCCAAGCAGGAGGACTTGTATCAATTGCGCCTGTGTGGGATGACCCCCTACAACCTCAGCAAAGTGGTGCAGTCCGGAAACAGGAGACCCCTGCTGTGAGAACAGCATGTGTTGAGCAAGGAGAACCTCTGCCATTCAGCACGGGCCCCATGATCAATGCATTTTGCCTGGCTTCACGCCTCGACAGGTAAGATTTGTTGATAAGTTTAGTGTCTCGGATGTTGCAAGCATGACTGCTGCAATAGCTCCACGATAGTTTGAACCGCAGGCTGTAGGCTTTCAAACAAATTCGATCTTGCAGGCCAAGAGCCTGGCGGACGTCTTGGAAGGAAGGCGCTGGGGGAGGTCATGGGACCTTTACCTGGGTAATGCATCTACTCTGAAGAGGAGCATACCGGGCGTGCTTTTCTACGGCCACCGCCTCTGCAGGAGTGTTGCTGTTGTTGCTGTTGTTGCTGCTGCTGCTGCTGCTGCTGCTGCTGTGGTGCCGCTACTGGCACCCGTGCCAAGGAGGGAGGAGTGCGGACAACTCACTGCCACAACCGCCACTGCCACCGCACTGCTACCAGCACCATGACGACCGCCATGCCATCGATTTCTTCTGCATAACTTCTCAGTGGCCCCACAGGCCGCAGTCGCATGTCGTGACTCGAATGAGCGGCCTGCTCATAGGAGACTGCACAGCGCAATCAGGGTTTCACCGACATGAAGCAAAGTCTCATGGCTGTACGGATAGCAGTGCCAAAGCTCAGCACTGCACATGCCAATGATAGCAAAACAGGCACTAGAATGCACAAGGCCGAGCTAGGGTTGTTAGTTGAAGACGCCGGGATATTTTGCGCAGGTTGACATGGATTTGGGCGGTGGTATGGTAGTCCCATTGGCCGTCAACGAGGATACAGATCTTGAGGCGTGCATCATGTGTTCATCATATGGCAGCGCTGATGCAAAAGGCCACTGAAGCCTGATCTGCTTGCAGGCCCTTACGGCAGAAGTGGTGCCAGCAACCCAGTTTTCATGTTTTTGCTGGCCCGACCTGAGCAGAGAACCAGCGGAGTGACAACACTGCACGCAAGGCGGTCACATGGCCTGAGCAAAGTGGAGCACCGTCGCATCGTGCGCTACCTGCAGCAAGTCAGAGACCAGATTGTAGGAGCCGGTGTCCAGAGACAAAAATCATACGGAGCAGTTGAATCTGGATTTGGATTGGATGACTTGAAGCTGCGTCTGCTCTTTTTGGGTCGCCGTTGCAGAAGACTGCACCGCTCTCTGCAGACCTTCATGAATCTTAGGACAGCAGTTTCGCCCCGAGACTCGGCTCAAACCCGAGGGAGTGTGCTCGCGTCTACCCTCATGCGGGCTGAGGCCGGTGAGTAAGCTTAGGAAACTGCCCGGTTTGGCCAGAGGTGATGATCCCTGGCAAGCCCCATCCATGCCAGGGCGACCTCAGCTTGGGGGTAAGGGCAGGCATCCCAGATGGCCCTCGGCTAGGGAAAGATGGAACATGATTGGTCATCCGATGCAAAGAAATGGAATCAATTGCTATGCGGCGTGGGAATGAACATGCGCCAGAACCCTGAATCCCAAAGTCGGGCTCCAGCCGCCAAAAGCTAATTCTAACCTCTTATACAAAGGCTCTGAATTTTGAGCACAAAAAAAGAGTGCTTGCATGGGTTTACCAAGGCACCGAGGATGAGACCGCGCAGGCCACTGAGTCGCTCGGCCCAGCGGAGTTCAGGGTTTGACAATGGAAAGAGGGGTACATCAGGAAGCATTGCAAAGAAACTCGAGACAAAGAAGACTCTTCAACAGGTCGGCAACTGGTGGTTGAACTTGTGGTGTCGCAGTCCCAATCCGTGTTGTGGTGCATGTTGGAACGGCTTTGGATTCTGTTACCAAAGCCTGCAACAAAAAGGCAGGCGCGTGTCAGAGTCTGCCAAGATGAGCTGAAAAAACAACAGCAGAGCTTTTGCACAAGGTGTAGGCGTAAGGAAGCATAAGGCTGGAGGGCGTGTTCCTGATGACTTTGTCTGCCTAGGCTTCGCGGCCCTGGCAGCTGGTTTCCTTGGTGCTGTCTTCTTGGCCGGGTCTTTGCAGTTTGCTGACAGCAGGGGTGCAAGCCCCAGACATAAAGGCATCGTTTGTCTGTCTGTCTTTTGTCATCCGTGGTCCTGAGGTCCGGGCCTTTATGACAAAACAACATATTGCAACTCATGCCATCTAGATAAATGCATTGAACACTCTGTGCTATGCATATATGTATATATATGCATATATGTATATATATATAGGCATGATTTGCGCATCGAAGCTGAGGCGACACCTCCGCCTTCGCCGTTGTGGATAAAAAAGATAGGGTGTACCCCACAAAGGGCCGATACGACGCAAACGGCAACTACATCCCAAAGAAGAAGAGAAGGTATAAGCCTACCGTCATCCTGCTGCAGGATGCTCATTTGCACAAGTCACTGCTGTTGTTGAAGGGAGAAGCCTTTGCCAATCCACCACGAAAGACAGTTTGCAGGATCACCCCAAGCTTGGCAAGAAGGGTGACAAAATCGAGGTGCCCAGCTGATTGTCGTGCGGGGTTCGCACGGGTTAAAGCTTGAGCACATGCTGTGGCATCTTCTGCTTTGCTCCATGGCTCACGCTTCTGGAGGTGAAGCGGGGCTATTACCGGAACGTCCTCTATCCGGAGGGCATCGCCAAGAGACAGGACGCCAGCATCAAGAGGATGTCATGGGCTCAGACATGGCCTGACTCCAGCCTTGGCTCCAGCCTTGGGACACGTACTGTTTGCATTGAACGCGTTGCAGTGCCTGGCACCAGGCTCGAGCAAGAGGAGAAGATGAAGAGCGAGGAAGCAGCAAAGGAGCGCGGGGCCCAGCAGCTGAATGCACAAGCAAACTCACCATTGGACAGCAGGTTTAGCTTGGCTCCGATCAGGGCGTGGAAAAATCATACTGGGGGGCTGTACGTGTCAGAGACATATCCTCGTGTATTGTATGGCCGACACTGCTGACATCATTGACAGCCTGTGAGAAGGGACAGGATCGTTGTTGTGCAGCTGAGCCAGGTTGCGGGAAGCTTTAGAAAGGAAGCGGGCAATCGAGGATCACGGCGAGTGCCTCTCTGAGTGTCTTGATTCTTGCATTGAATGTCAGGCGCCTAGGGGCTGCTCCACATGAGATGGAACCCCGCGACATGAAAATAAACAGTGCAAGGCCGATGTCAGGCAAGGTAAAATCCGACATTGGTTCATCCATGCGTGAGCGGCATGTTGAGAACCTGCAGACTCCGGCAGCCAAAGGTTCGTGTTTGAGAAGAAGGTCCGTGAGGATAAAGAAAACATCTATGGATCGCTCTCGCAGATCAATGTGGCAGAGGAGAGAACTGTGTTCCAGCCCTTGACTGTGCAGCTGGACAGGCATCCAGCACTATAGCACGCCACCAGCATCGTGGGCAGAATGTCGGACTTTGACCAAAACCTTGCGAGTGTTTTTGTAGTGTGGGATGTCTTGGAGTTGGAGGTGGAGAACACCACGTCAGTGCAATCTCCGATCTCTGAATGTTTTTGTTCGTCGTGGCAGACTCAAACCCCGCAGGAGGTGGTGAAGTCCACGGCTGTACCGGTGCGGCAGGTTTCCGTCCAGATCCCCAAGGCTGTCTGAGGGAGCCCTTCATTGGCGCGGGCAGTATCCTAGCACACTGGCACAACACGAAGCGAAAGTCGAAGCATAGTTCTATCCAGTCAGTCAGCAGGGATGTTTGTTCCGGGCATGTCAGCTGGTGGTGGAGCTAGACGGCACATGACCCTGGATGGCCCAGCATTTTTTGTGCCGTGCTTTGGCCTGGCAGATCACGAAAGTGGGCGAGTACCGGGGCTCCATTGAGCTCACCCCGGAAGTCATCGCAGTCTTTAAGATCAAGGCTGGGGCCCTCCGCACGCGAGCGTGTCCTGCTTGTCTGGTTCGCAGAGTAACTTTTCTGAGAGGTGGTTCCCGAGGGTAGCCTGGGCAAGGAAGAGGGTGAGGAGGGTGAGGAGGCAAGCAGTGCATGTTGTGCAACATGGTACCTCTGGACATCTTTTGTCAGTCAAAGCGGTTTTGAGCTCAGCCACAGGAAGCTTCAGACTAGCTGGCCGCACGGTGGCCGCAGGCCAAGATCCCTTGTTTTGTGCATAGGTTTTGTCAGGGTCTGCTGCTTTGGTGCAAGGATCTTCATGGCCCGCTCCTGCTCAGGTTCACAGCCTGGCAAAAGCAGCAGTGAGCTACCAGAGAGTTTTCCATGAAAGTCCTCATGCTCACATGTTTCTGTGTGAAAGAGTTCCACAGCACAGCTTCCAAGACATCAACAATTCGGAATTCCTACTGTTGCCTCTCACTGTCTTTTCCTGCATGGATCACAGCTTTCGATTTCTTTCTGGGGGCAAAGAACCTGCTGACAGCGCCCACGACCCCTGTGAACAGAGGAAGTCAAGGATTTGGGTGTCTCATTGTGGGGAGACTGTGGTCTGCGACTTAGATTGGCCCGATGGGCTGGCTCATGCAGTCTGCTGAGACTCATCCCGCTCCGGCTTCAAGTGCAACGTTGGGAATTAGTTCGGCAAGTGTCTAAAGTTTTCAGCCCGACAAGTCAAACAAGCCTGCAAACCGATCCCCCACCAAGGCAAGCTCGGACTGCCAAAGGCTTTGAGTGCAGCAAACATACCTGCAGAAGTCGTCCAGCCCACCCGCACACATCAGACTAGCTGCGGCACATCATAACCGCAATCGAAGTGGTGTCCGAAACAAAGCCCACTTGCGGAGCCATTGCGGCCATGGCAAATGTCCAGCCTGCACAGCCTCAGGCCAGGGCAGTGTTGCTTGGCCCCACAATCTGCTGCGTTTAATTTTCTACAACTAGCTGAAGATCAAACTGGCAAATGGAGTAGTTTGCCATGCAACAGTGACACCGAAAACCCAAAACCCTTTCCAGCAAACTCACTGCAACATGGACCCATTTCCTGACAACCTGCTAGCCGCCCGATTGTGCAGGTTCCTGAAACTCTGGTGGCTGAGCTAGCCAGGTGGCGCAGAGAGGCACAGGAGTAGAGAGTAAGTGAGATGACTGGCTGGGCTGGGGGTGGATGCCTTCGGCCAGTGGAGGTGTGTGCCAGCTGCGGGGCCAAAGCGATGTTCTACTGTCCCTACTGCTGCAGGGAGCCCAACATGCTCAGTGGCCTGCTTTACTTTGAATTTGGGTGCGCGCAATCAAGGGTATCAGGATGATAGCAGGCCGAACTGCTCTGAGATCCGTAGTCGAGCTGAGGCTGATGGTAGGTTCTGTTACTCAGACAAAGTGGGAACAGCTTCAAGGCACGCCTCTCGGGGTTCCTGAGGGCGTCACCATTCCTCGGGCAAGGCCTGACTGACCTTTCGGATCCTCTCCGAATTCATGGTAATGGGTCAAAGCGCAAGGTGTGCAAGTGAAGCGAGATGTGAGAGAGGATTTCGGACTGTTTTTAAGCATTCAGCAATATTCACACGAATTGCCGGAAGGCCGGCTTACGGAATGCGTGGAGTGCGGATAAGACGTGATAAGATGGATTGCGTGATAGGTGCGGTTACGGGGCAACACTCACTAGCTTGCTGCTTTCTACCTCCCCCCCTCTGCTCTTGAAAAGTAGTTTCTTGGACGGATGCACAGATGCCAACAAATTATACATTGCCTTTGGATTGCTGAGAGGATTTGATTGCTTCCTGCCAACACATCATTGATTGCATATCGAGTCATATCAAACCAGGCTAGTATGCGCACTTGATATGGCTACTTGTAGACTGGGATGCTGTTCCTCTGCAGCATTGCATTCGGGCGGGAGCAGCTTGGAAGTCTTGGGTGTGACTTGATGCTGAAAGGCTGCCATTTGCACGCTGCGACATCATCTTTGACGATGCGCCCAAGAAGGCAAGCCCAAACTAGGGCAAGGATGAGGCAGTTTTGCACGGAAGTTTCCATTCAAGATTTGAGAATCAAAAGGATGGTAGGAGCAGGTTAGTGACTAGAGGTAGAGTTCCGAACGACATTTTTTGACATCCTTGATTGCTAATCTGGAGCCACATGGACCCAAGCCCTAAACCCTAAATCCTAAACCCCAAACCAGCACGCAGGCCACCAGCATCCACGCCAAAGTCCTTGCGCCGGAACAGGTACCCTTTGTTTCCGCTGTTTCGATGCGCATGTGGGGTTGCCTTCCTGACTCCGGGTAGGTTCGCCTTATTGACCTCTTCACGACGGAGGCCAACACCAATCGTACCCTGAGCCGGCCTGGCGGGAACACCCTGAAGGCCTTTGCCCCTAGCAACAAGTTCAGGGTACTCCTAAGGAGGCAAGGGATAACTCAAGAGATTCCGATACAAAAGGAACCCAGCTTCAAATCGGCTTACGTCAGCAAGATTTGTTTGCAGCTCTTGCCCATGAACTGCTGCACTTGGAAGGCAGACTCTGGGGATGCAAAAGGAGCCATAGAGACGTTTTGCAGCGGTCACAGTGTGAAAGGCGTTGTGTCAAGCTGCCAGAAACTCTCCTTGTTGCTGCGAGGAGACTTGCACAGCCCAACTGCTGTCATACGCGAAATCCCAGAGACGGGACCTCAGCCGTGCTACTGATAATAATTAACATTTTATGCCCCTGTCTTTTCGGTGGAAACTCAACGTCGCTTGGCCAAAGTGCAGGTATGACCCACACATCACGCTCGTTCTCTTCCCGGTGCGGTCCTTGTTTTCAGCTTGCGCAGTCTGGAGACCTGGTATGACATGTTAATGGTTTTTCTGGGCCTTAGAAAATGACTGAATTGTGATATCGGATGTCATAATTTCAAAATATTTTCTCATTGAGATAATCTTAGGTATGGAGACCTTTGTTGCCATTTGTTGATTTTTCCAGAGCCTGCAGGATGACAGTAGCGGGACTTTCGAGCAGGCAGGAAGCAGCCTCCATACTGTGGCAGCACCATGTTTTTGCTAAACCGGCCTTTCGGCCCGACCTCAGATTCGGTGATGGCCATACATCTTCAAACAAGAGAGCCAGCACGACCGCAGGTGGCTTCCGAGTGGGACTTTGGACCGCCCGACCGCCTCACGCTGGTCCGCACGCAGATGTTCTCTTGGCAGAGTCAACATACAGTAGCCATCATCATTGCTGGAAAGATTGGTGCCGCGATTGCAGAAGCTGAGGGTTGGGCTTCAACACAGTCTTGTATCCTGCGAGGTCGTGATTGACTCGCCATGGAAGCGGGCGCAGGCACAGAGCATTTGCATTCACTGCTCCACGCTTCCCCCCAACTTTTCCCACCCCATGCACCCAAAGAATGGCCTAGGGACATCCGCCGCCAATTTTCACCGCCACCCACCGACCCACGACTGCCGCCGTCGCCCCCAGCCGCACCCCAGCCACCCACCACCCCCACACCCAACAGTGCCCCTACACCAACACAACCGCTTACGGCACCTGCGACTGCCGCCGCCACCACCGCCACCGCCGCCACCACTGCTGTTGTGTAGCTTTCGTGTCTATGCTCCTTATGGGCTGCTTTCTTCGTTGTGGGCCGGGCATTTGCCGGCATGTCAGGTCCTGCGCAAGCACCCCCGGCTGGCCAAGCTACGATCTGCCATGCCCTGAAGTGCATCCACCACATCACTAGCATGGAGCATAGGCAGCATGGATGAAGCACATTGCTGATGTTGTCTCTGCGAGATCCGCCTTGGACATCCTCCGCCGTCTCGATTCTGGCGCTACCACTCGGAGGGCACAGGCAATCCTGTCGGCAGACTGCACACTTTGCTAGTGACAGACTGATAAACTAACAAACTCCATTTGAAACGGCAAAGTTCACAACATCATTGGTGGGTTCGTGAGCCCCTGGGAGTGTTGCACGATATTGCATTGCACTGCAGGCTGCGTTTCAACGGTGGAGGCCAGTGGGGTAGAGTTTCTCAAGAGATGCCCATGAAACAGCCCTTCAAGCGCTACTCGTACCCGCTTCCCAGCAAGATCACACTTGAGCCTCCAGAGCTCTCGTGGCTCCCATGGAAAGTAGGCTCTGGCTGCTCTCGCCAAAGAAGTGCTGCCCCAAACTGGGGGAGCTGCGGAGGGCCCAGCCGGGGGTCTCAGCACAGTCATGGACTGCTGCTCCCATGTTTGAGAAACGAAGTGAGCTGAGCCAAATAGGAGGGCAGTAGACTTCACTGGCTGACTCAGCTCTCATATCAAATCAACCTTGCCTTCAGGCCTCGAAGGGTTTGCACTGCAGCTTGAAAAAGTTTTGAATTCACACTTCCGATTCCTCACCTGCTCTGCAACTCAGGGGTCTCCAGGATATGTCGGTGACTCATTTTCTCGGAGCCTGCTGTGGATGCACTGTTGGATTTCTGCAAAAATCATGCGGAACACTGGCTGTGTTTAGGATTCCTTCCTGGATGATCCCTTCCTGTTCTTCTTCGCCTCGGTCTCAGTTCTTGTGCATCCTCCATGCTGCAGATGGGCCCTCCAAGCCATCATCCAGTTCTGGCCGCACTCATCCCGATGAATTGGATACCGAATCGGATTCTGAATTTGTTTCTTTCAGGTACGGCAGTTTGCCTACATCTCGGAGAATAAGCGGACAGCAGGCATTGCTTGCATGTAGGGGTCGTTCAGAAAATCTATCCATACAACAATCATTGCAATGAACAACATTTTGCAATTAAGCTCTTAAAATGGAAAAGGTGCACGCGAAAGGATGCGAAAGGTACGCGGAAGGGTTCACAAAAGGTTCAGCACGGTCCAACACAGCCTTCGCATTGCAGACCGCTAAGCCGCTAAGCCGCAAAGCAAGCCTTGTTGCTGGAAAGTGTTTTGACCCCATATCCGTGCAGCTCATTTACACCACTGGTCAGTTGCTGCAGTGGTGTGGCAAGTTGAGCAACATGTCTACCTCTCGGGACCGCGCATGGGCATGCAGTACAGACGCTTCGTAGATCAATGAAGGGAGTGGTAACATGGTAGGGTACTATGGCTCGCAGAACCTTCTACAAGGCACTTGGAGGTTGGGGCTGCAGTTGCTACAATGCAAGCTTCAAGAACACAACAGACGGCTTCATCATTGTTATTGTTGACCTGTAGCCTGTAGCCTGAGTCAGAAGTTAAGATCCTCCATTTTCGATAGATATTGCCCTTCGTGTTCAATACGGCAACGCAGTCGCGCGCGAAAGGGGAAGGAAGGGTGAAAGTGGCTCTTGCGTCAAGAAATTGCTCGGGCACATGCTGACCAACAAAGATGTTCTCGACTTTCTGCACGTTTGGATCCTTGTTGTTAGCGCATATGGGCTTGGGTAATCACCGCGCTGTCAGAATTGATACAAGAGCGGTCCTATTTGTTGGTTCCCTTGCAAAACGGTAACCAATAAACAATAAACGAGAAGTTTCGTAATTCCAGTAGTATTAGACAGTTCTGTTGTGCTAGCCCTGTAAAACGATAACCAACAGAAAAGAACGATAAGGTTCAAACTAGGATAGGAAGAGTGGCCATAGTTGTTCTAGACTGTAAAGCTTGCAGTGAGCCTGCTGGACTAGATGAAGCATCCAGATTGCTTAATAGATAGACCCAAGTGAACCCCAGACGTGGGATTTGCAGCGTGCAACCATGTCAAGCCCAAACTTGAAACTTCATGATGCTTCGTAATGCTTGATGGAATGTAGATATGTTTCGTGGCTTGATAGAAGTCGTCCTCAGTCCTCAATGATTTATCTGCGGGGATTCATGGTGTTCGCCAAAGGGCACACGAAAGGGTCTGCGAAAGACCCAATTTCAGGAACAGCTTACTGCACAAGCCTCGCATGTTGACAATAGGCCCTCAGCTGTCCATTCAAACAGCTCTGGCACATCTAAAAGTCTGAGGCTGCTTGCTTCGACGTTCGCCTAAATCAGCTGCTTCTACAACCTTTGTACTGTGTCCCGAAGGGCAAAAGCGCAAAAGCCCAACCTCTCCGACTCTGCCCAAAGTAGGAGCCAGGCTCACCACTGCAGCAGCCGTTGTCGCAGTAGTCCCCAAAGTAGCACTGGGCCTTTGCCATAAGGGTGGCTGCAGTGGCAGTTGGTAGCTGAAGTACTAGTTGTAGAGTAGTTTGGGTGGTGGCAACCAGCAGCAGCAGGAGGCCTTCGGGGTAATAGGAGGAAGAGGAGGAGCAGGAGGAGGCCAGAGGAAGAGCAACAATAGCGCTCCCCAGATAGCCTGCAAGGTGGTGCGGAGTGCCCCATGGACCCGGCAGCCAAGCAGCGCCGGATGGAACAGGTGTCACGGAACTTTTCACACTCAACTTCAGCTCTTTCAGAGTACTTTGGAGGTGCCGAAATTCAAAGAAGCCCTCATGCGGGAAGGTCCGGCAAAAAGATGCTAAGCGGCTGAAGCTGCGCCCATTCGGACCCGCAGAAACCGGGGACGAGGCCGGCGATGCTTTCTCAGTTTTGCCCGCGCAAAGTTGGTCCTACCAGGTGCAGGAGGATGATGCAGATGCGGCTTGTGGGGAGCTGTTTGAAAATGTCATGCCCAGATACACTTGGGCACTGTGTCGTCATGGCCTTCAAGTGATTGCTCAAGTTTGCTCGTCCAAGTTTTTCCCAGACCAGTATACCTACTGTACGCTCGGATTTTAAGTCTGGGTCGACATCCTTAGCATTACGCCAAGACACTCTTGAAAATCTTTGGATGGCCATTGCTTCGGCATTTGCAAATCTGTTGTTGCAAGCACAGCTTTTGAGTGCACAGCTGCCTTTGCCGCCAGCTTTCAGCTCGCAAATCATTCTTTTCGTGAGTCACTTGCCTTTGACGCCTACGATGGCAAGCATGCTCGGAGGCAGATCAGATAAGGGCTCCTTCAAGAAGAAGATGCCTGCTCAAATATGGCCTTGCTTGGTTTGACTAGTTGAAGCAGTGAGGTCACAGCTTGAATGTCCATGGAGCTCCAGCTCAGAATCTTTCAGCATCTGCCCTGGGGCCCTCTGGGTTTCTGCTGCTATTTCTGCTTGGGAGCCTAGCCAGAAGCCCCCCAAAAGCCCACAAGACCATAAACGTGAAACATCAGAATGCCCCTTAAGAGACACATGCGAACATAGTTCTATGGAAGGAGTTCATGGGAGCCCTTGATGGGTTTGATGGTATAGCCTAGGGCCTAGACAATTCCATTGTTGTGTGTTTTCTACAACAAGTCACTGCAGGCCCTGTTGCCTGTCGCAAAGATGTGTTGCCTTTCCTGGGCGTTCGCATGTGTACATTCTCGTTCTATACCAGCCTGGTCCTGCTTCCTGTCAGTTGCAATCTTCCAGTGGTTCATCAACCATCGACTTTGACAAGACGCTTAGTAAGTGAAGAGACTTGAAGACTCAACTTTCGTAGTTCAAGCAAGAGCGCCGAATGAACCCAGAAGCTGCGCACGGCACTCGCAAGCTGCAAGAAGCTAGTCCCCAAGCCGTGAACCATTAGTGCCGGTGCCCATCGCCGAAATCTAACCGCAACCCGAAGGTATGGGTGATGCCATGAAGGAGCAGGCTGGCTTCATCAAGATTCATTGTTTAGGGCCGCTTACGGTGTTGAGCGTTTCAGTCTGTGAGTTTATGGTCTAGTTCTGGGTTTCGGGCTTCCTCTTTATGGCCGACTGCGCGAGTTGCGGATTCGGGAGTGGAGCGGGCATTAGTCGTCGCCAACTCGGCACTCACTAAGCCTCACCAAGCACAGTTTAGCGCTCAGGAAGGCGGAGTCCTCTTTCTGAGTCCGCCTACTTCTGCTTTATTTTCAGTTTGATAAGGAACTTTCCAAATTGCGTGTCGTCACTTGAGAATCGGCCGGGTTGACAATCTAACATGGGAGAGTCCGCTGGTTGTCGTGTCGTGCATGGTGTAATGGCCGCTCTTATCTACCGTTCCCGAATCCTCGCATGCGCTCGGATGCAGAATGTTTGGTTGTGTTTGGTATGTGCTCAACGAAGCGGTGTGGTGGATTTTGAGTTGAGGGTTGGGGCCTGAGGCATCCTCAGGTAGGGCTCAACATCTTGGGCACATGGCTTGGGGATGCAGGCTTACGAATCCTGGTGGTGGGAGTTCACTTCTTGACCGCGGCTGGAGAAGAGATTCTCCAAACAGTACCATCTACCTGCAAAATCCTCAATCCTTAGCGCTGCTGAAGCCCTGGCCTTGAGCCCTACTTTCCTTCAACAGAAATCGTCTGCACACAGGCCAAGAAGAAGATTGAGGATGAGTTGGCAGAGAAAGCGCCGGGAGCCATCAAGCCTTTCTTCCCATGCTGCGGCGGGCCCGTTCCTAGGCTGAAAGTCAAGGGCCAAGGGTGTATTATGGGGTTACTTGGGGGGCTCTCAGAGAGTCGCTTGTCTTTTGCATGAGAGTCCTGAAGTGCAATAACCGCAAACCACTACAGGATCCAATTTCCACTATGTTTTCTAATTTTCCATTTGATTCTCCATCATTTGGGGGGTCCTGAAGGGAATATACAGGGCCGTCAGGGCGTGTTAATAGGTGATCCAAGTGTAATTGACGCCCGTGGCAAGATCCTTTTTCATGAGCTGCTTCGCAAGAGGTTCAGTAGGCGGACTCTTAATCGAGCCTTGCCTCTTCATTTCTATACCAAATTAATTACTCAAGATTTGATTGTGTCCCTCAAGGAGCCACCGTTGCCCAGGTTAAGGCGTGGGATTCACGGCTTCGGGTTTCAAGTCCAGAGTTGCCAGACCATCAAGTGCCACCTGTTCCTCGGGCACTACGTACCTGAACTGCGGAAGTGTCCTTGGCTTGAGGTTGGAACCACCGAAACATGCATCTGCATGGTGCCCGCGGACCAGCAGGACAGCGTGAAGCAGGCCCTGATGGTGTTTGGATTCTTCGGGGCTATGTATGCGTCCTGAGGTAGAATCCATTGAGGGTCAGCCTGAAGAAGTAATGAGACCAACTCGGCCCTCCCCTCCAGCGCTGGGGGGTCCGTGAAGAGCATTGTGTCGTTTGTCATCTTGTGATGATGTCAGCACTATCAGCTGCCTATTTTCGTTTGCTCCCTGCTTCGGGGAACAGTATATCACGTAGATATAATATAGATATCTGTATTAGTATAGATA